CCTTCCCTTTGGTTGGACACCATCCCTTTTAATTCCAAACCTGGATCTTCAATGCTGGTTTGGCTTAATCTATTTGATGCAGCCGCCAACAAAAGGAGCTCCCTGAAAGCCAAATGATGGATATTTAATTTGGTCCAGTTCATTTTGACTAAATGGGGATAATTACTCAAATCTGTGGACCATAAGATGGGAAATTCATCGGTTGTCATAAACACAATCTTTTTGGTGGGACCATATCCAGGAATTTCTAAGGTCTTGACTCCCTGCTTAAGCAATCTGTTTTCTAGAGCTCGTGAAAAACTAGGCGCAGAGACATTTTAACACTTTTAAACCCCAAGCCTGACCTGTTTCCAAAACCAACTTTCTGGACTGTGTTCAATCACCTCAAACGTCCTCACAAATACAGACAAGCAGTGGAATTTGCACCACAAACACAACAGATGTTGAAACATGTCTCAGAACATTATGATGGCTGGTTTTCAGGAATGTGATCAGCAGAGTTTTGTTTTCACTGCTTGGAAGTCATTTCAGAGTTTCTTTTAGGTTTCGAATCAGAAATCGAGCCTGGTTCCCTTAGTAATCCTCCCAGATTCTTCTGCTCCCTTGTCGTCAGTTTTAACTTATTTCCTGATAGTTCCATGTTCCATGTCCATGTTTCTCCACCTTAAGGCCTCCGGTCTGTTGGTTTTCTGCCATGGGTTTCCCCGGGTGGCCCAATCTGGTCCCCATAACCCTCCATGCCGCTGCTTTTACAGGAAAGCTGTGCACATGCTGCAGAAAACAGCACTTCGCTCGCAATTTTAATTGAATGTTGAAGATTATTTAACATTAAAGGCTGATGTGAAGCCTGTTTAAGGTGAGCCTAAAACACAGAACAAAACGAGGCTGAAGTGACCTTCGACCCACCTTTTTCTTTGGAGATCTTTGCGTAGACGCCCACCGCGATCAGAGTGGCGCTCACAACCTGCAGTCGCACAAACACACGTTATCTCTGCTTCTGCCCCACGCAAGCCTGAGCCAGAGTGGACTCACCCAGAAGAGGTAGCAGAAGATGAACAAAGTGTACTTGATGCCTCTGTATCCTCTCATGTCCTCTAAACAGCAGCCGTTCTGTCAGACACTCCCGTGGTGGTTCCTTCTTCCTCTGACATGACTTCTTAAAGACGTGTGCCGGCCTGCCGGCTGCATTCCTGATCAGAGGCTTATCTTCCTCCTCTGCTGTCAGAAAACACTTCATCAGCTGGGGACCCACTGTGCTACAGACCCCCCAGCCCCTCCCCTCCAGGCCGCAGACCTCCTCACAGTTTTTATGTTTCTGCTTTGTTATTGCTCAGCCTGCAGCTCTCACGAGTCTTCCTACTCCATGTTTAAGCTTTTCTGAGTCTTTGTCAGATTCCACCTGTTAACATTTCATCCTTGTGTTTAAAAAAAAACCTTTTTCAGTTAAAACGTAGGATTTGTTTGGAATATTAGATACTGGACAAGTAAGGGAACCTGTAATCTTTATTATTTTACCAAGCAGAGGGACAGTGTGACTCGCCAATAAAAATGTATAGTCTTAGATTTTTTTTAAACTTTTCTGTAAGTTTTGATGGACTTCTCTTTGTCTTGTTTCATGCAAATATTCCCTATCATTACCTAAAAATATAATTTATCATTTTCTAAGAAACTGCAACAGCTCAGGGGAATGCTTTCGTATTGGAAGGTGGAACGAAAGGGAGTTCAGTGTTTCCGGGGGACCGTATTGTGGTAAATCAGCTGAGTGTGGCGTCAGAGTCGGATTTGTTTTGATGTTTTGAGTCGAGCTTCGGAGTCTTCTCAGCAATGTCTTCTGTTCGGGCGGTAATGTGACGGCGAGAAACCCCAAAGAAGAAGGACTTTTTACGGGGGAACACCTGGCGAAAATAAATCAGACGTAAACGTCGGGCTCCCTCATTCAGGAGCTGGCCGTTCTGTTTGGCCTGAGCATCAGTTTTCCTCAGCAATGTCTTCTGTTCAGCATCTGAGAGAGTTTATCAGCCAGCGACTAACTGCTGCCGCCGAAGAAATATTCTCAGAGTTTGAAAAAACCATCGTCCAGTACGAGGACGAGATCGATCGTCAGCGCAGACTGCTGGAAGTCAGCTGGAAACCCCAAATAACCCTGAAAACAGCAGGTATGGGGCAGATAGCCGTGGACATAGCAGGTGTGGGCTCTTTAAAGGTCTGATGATTTCTTTCGACGATGAGGGTCCGAGCTCCCTTCACGTTTCCTTTACTGACTCGTTTTTGGAAGAGTTGAACGATTTTGAACACAGTGAACAGAAAAAAAAAAATCTGAATTTGTCTATGCAAGGAAATGTTGGGTTACAAATCACATTAGATATCAGATATCATTAGACTGCACCCACCCTTTTGTTTCTACCCTGTACCATGTAGAGGGTGAGCAGCATTGGCCATTTTCATTCTTAATCCTGTTTTTGTTTTTCTTTGGGTCTGTGAAACTTCGAAACAGATTGTACAACTGTTTCCCAGATTTCCTTGCAGGTCTGATTTACAAAGGAACCCTGTCTAGTTTCGTCCATTTGTTATAACTTCATCTGATTTAAAAACTGGTGAAAAGATCAGAATAAGCATGTTGTGATGACTGTGTACCCACTTTTTAAGTTACAGGCCTAGAGTTTGGCTAAGATATTATAACTTGTACAGGATAAATGAGATGATATGCCTCATTGTAAATACAACATTTTATTGAGTTAGTTTCTTACTGTGACTTTGAGAACCCAAGCAAACAGAAACTTAACTGCACTCATTCATACGATCGTTTTGTTGAGCTGAATCAATTCATCTGGACTTCAGATGAAGCAATGGAAACAGTTGCCTCTCAATGTCGATCATGTCTTTCATTAGTTTGTCTTCTCTCTCTCTATCTTATCAGACCTGCCTCAGCATTTTGTTTGTAAGGAGGAAAGTTCTGTCCAGCAGCTTTGTAACCAGGTAAGGACCTCGCATCTTGATCCGGGCGATCCAGGACCACCACAGATTAAAGAGGAACAGGAGGAACTCTGTACTCTCAGTTCTCAGCCGGAAGAACAGGTTGTTCTGAAACAGGAGATTGAGACCTTCATGGTCACTCCTACATATGATGAAAACTCTCAAAGTGAACCAAGACTTAACAGCAATGTTGTCATCCCTCAGAATTCATCTTTGTCTCCAAGTCAAGAAGGGACTAAGCATGAAGTCTCTGGACCAACTACTCTTCCTGAGTCCACGGAAAAATATAGATGTCACAGAAGCCACAGTAACAATGTGGAAATGGAAAGCTCTCCCTACACAAAAAGTCTGTGTAATGCAGATACGGGTCAAAAAGGTGTCAAATGTGACTTTTGTGGCAAAGCCTTTGAGTTTAGGTGCAAAATGAAGAGACATTCCAGAGTCCACACAGGTGAAAAACCATATTCCTGCAACTTCTGCGGGAAAAGGTTCGGTCACACGTCTGCCTTGAATGTTCATTTAAGAATCCACACAGGTGAGAAACCATATCAGTGCAAAACATGCGGAGCAAGTTTCTCTCAGTTCCGACAGCTGAACATCCACCTGACGACCCACACGCATGATAAGCTGTTTTCATGTAAAATATGTGGGAAAGGATTCTCTCAAAGTGGGGACTTGAGCACCCACATGGCAACTCACACAGAGAACAAGCTGTATCCCTGTAAAACATGTGGGAAAGGTTTCAGACACAGCAGCACTTTGAACGCCCACATCAGAACTCACACAGGTGAGAGGTCATATTCGTGTGAAACGTGTGGTAAAGGTTTTTCACATAAGGGTAATTTGACTGCCCATATTCGAATCCACACAGGTGAGAAGCCATATTCTTGTGTCATTTGTGCTAAAAGTTTTGCTCAAAGGAGTGTTTTAACAGTCCACATGAGAACTCACACAGGGGAGAAACCGTATTCCTGTGAATTATGTCACAAAATCTTCAGGCATAGGAGCACTCTAACCCTTCACATGAGTACTCACATCAGTGAGAAGCAGTAGCTCCACAAAATCTTTAAATCAACAAACTTGAAGTTCTAAATGTGCAGATTTGAGTCTGACTGAAAATGGTATATTCACTTTGAACTGATCTGATTTTTGTCCACTTTGAAATGTCTATGTAAATATATACATTTCTGTAAACAATGAAGCTCTGTGACATATTAACTTTATGTCTTAATCCTTGTGGATGCCTTTTTGTTTTACCAAACATGAATTGTTAAACTCTCCCTTTGTTTTCATGTACATCAGAAGGAATCGTAGCTTGATGTTCAAGCGCTACATCTGGAAGACTAAAACGATGTTTGAAACATTGAGAATATTTGGTGTTTTCTGTGCATGTCTTTAAGAGCATTTCATGGGCTGACAATCCTAATTTATTGACCAATTATCATCATTGAAGACAAGTCATCTTGACCTGAAACTTGTGTTGAACTTATTTCCTCTATAATGTAACAAAAGTGCAAACTAAATCAAGGTTACAGTTAAATAAATATATTTTAAACAAAAAAAGGTCACACCTAACCATCTGAGTCTTCTTTTTTCCTATAAAGATGATGATGTCCACCCCTATCATGCCCCTGCTTTTCCACATCTGGGAGAAGATGCCAGCCGTTTGGTTAAAAAGAGAAGTGGTTCAAATCTGAGCTCTCTGAGTTGAGATACATCAGCATTCAACATTTGCATTTTAAGTTGAAAGTGTTCCTCCTCTACCTGAAGGAGGGAGCATCTGCTTTATTTGGCCTTTCCACTGACCGGTAACCCATCCGGCACATATTCTGTGTGGGTGAATGGTTTAATCAGCTTTCCTCCAAATGAATCTATCCACTTATCCATTTTCTATTACATGCATATCTACTGGATTAGTTCATCCAACGCGGGAGAGAACACGCGTGCACCTGAGTGGACAACAGGTAGGAACAGTGTGTGAAGCAGCCGGATTCAAAGTTCTTTTCTGAGGGGGACGTCATTGAGTACATTTTCAATAAAGCTTTATTTACTAAATATGTTTCCCAGTTTAGTTTACTTTATTGCTTGATTCAAGAACAGAGTATAACTCTGTGGCCAGGGTGGAATTGGAGGTGAGGTCGGTGTTTCTGTCGGAACTTCGTACGTCGACATCCGGTGTAGGTGAACAATACAGAGCGACGTTAGCAACCTTAGCTTAGTTTCCGTTTGGCAGTTTGCTTTGGTGTTCGGGGCGAACACCACAGTCTGCTCCGCAATGTCTTCTGCTCAGCATCTGAGAGAGTTTATCAGCCAGCGACTAACTGCTGCCGCCGAGGAAATATTCTCAGAGTTAGAAAAAACCATCGTCCAGTACGAGGACGAGATCGATCGTCAGCGCAGACTGCTGGAATTCAGCTGGAAACCCCGAAATACCCTGAACGCAGCAGGTATGGGGCAGATATCCCTGAATAGGATCCGTGTCCTGTTCTGACAGGATCAGAGACCTCACCTGTTCACAAAAAGTTTAACAGCCACGAGCCACATTTTCGTGCACAATCAGCCTCCTTAGGGTGAAAGAATCGTTGGATAATAATAACCTGTGCTTCTTCACTGCTGTATGCATTAACTCAGCTGTTTTCTGGAGTCACACTTCGTCTGAATAAAGAGTTCATTGTGGTAGCTATTTTCGGAATAAAGAACTCCAGCAAATAACAAGACTTTTTAAAATACAATCAAACTTGGTTTCTTTTTGCCATGAGGGTAAATCATTTTATATTTTAGCATTTTCTGAAAAATGACTGCCTCTTTTCGTGACACTTTCTCTGATCTGTTAAACCCAAACGGTTGCAGGTTTTAGATGTTTTCTGCCCTGATACACATGAGTAAGATTAATGTGTCGCCGGCAGGCTGTGCTGCCCAACAGTGTTTTTAAGACATTTATGTCATGGGGATTTGGGGTGTGGCTGCTGAAAACACAAACCCCGCTGTACAGCGGAGTTGGATCCCTGACCTACATGCTGTTTCTGCTTTATTCTGGTTGAGAATAAGGCACAGTGCCCCAAAAGTTATGTGTCTAGGTGGGTTAGTAATTTAAAGCGGAGGAAACCAGGTCCAGTGTAGGTGGGAAAGACCCTCTGTTTTCTGGACTCTTCTGGGTTGAAAGCCTTATAAACCAGCTGGAGATAGTGATCAAAGTGCAACCCTCAGGTGTGCGCTCCTTTAAAGAGGTCAGACAGGAAGCAACTGTTTCCACCTCAGAGATCCTGCCGTATGATCCGAGTGTCCATTACAACTGGCTGCAAGAAATATGTATCGTTTAATATTTGAAGTCCTCTTAATATATATTTTTCTTTGTGTTTAAATTTCCAACAGCTTCCTTCTCTCCAGACCACACACAACAACCAGAGTGTAAAGAAGAGGAGGGTGTTGCTGACCAGTCCTTCTATGGCCAGGAGAGAAACCCCAATCTGGACCAAGAGAGATCAGATTTTTCACAGATTAAAGTGGAACAGGAGGAACTCTGCTCCAGTCAGGAGGGCGAGCAGCTGGCTCTGAAGGAGGAGGCCGATGCTTTCATGGTCACTGTCACATCTGATCACAGCGACCACGATGAGGCTGAACCGAACAGAGACTGCCTCCCTTTTCAAGACTTTGCTGTGTCGGAGAGCCAAAGCCAGGAGAACAGGCATGAGGTCCCAGGGTCAGCTAGAAATGCAGGTTTTTTCCACAGTTACAATGTGAACAGTGCCACCGCCCCAAAGAGCCAGTGTGCAGCGGACACAGGGAAGAAAGCTGTGCAGTGTGACGTCTGCGGGAAAAGCTTTAAACATAAGCACCAGATCAAGACGCATTACCGAATCCACACAGGCGAGAAGCCATATTCCTGCCAGATGTGTGGAGCGAGCTTTGCTCAGACTGGAAGCCTGTATGTCCACATGAGGACTCACACAGGGGAGTACTTTCAATGCAGCACGTGTGGGAAGAAATTTAAAGAGTTGTCCCACCTGAAAACGCACAAGAGAACTCACACTGGAGAAAAACCATACTCATGTCAAATATGTGGTAAAAGTTTCAGACATAGTGGCACTCTGACGGTGCACATGAGAACACACACAGACGAGAAGCCATACACCTGTGAAATGTGCGGAAAGGGCTTCAATCAAAGCACCAACCTGTTAACGCACATGAGGACTCACACGGGGGAAAAACCATACTCTTGTCAAATATGCGGAAAATGTTTCAGACACAGGGGAACTTTGACCGATCACATGATAACTCACACAGATGAGAAACCCTATTCCTGTCAGATATGTGGGAGAAGTTTCAGACGCAGAGGCGCTTGGACTGAACACATGGGTACACACACACATGAAAATCTGCAGTCCTCAGATACTTTTGACTTTAAAAATACCTGAGAAAATCGGCATACTTTAGTACAAGCTAAAAGTAGAACTCTGAGCAGTACAAAATGGGTCAAATAAAATCTGTTCCATTTCCATTCATGTTAAATGTCCTACGCCACCTTTGTGGATATTAAAACAGAAAAAAAATATTTATTTAAATGTGATATAAATGGAAATACAGGGTTTTAGGTTAATACAGTCAGTATTTTGTATGTTGGTTTGTTTTTTTATCAAACGGTTATCTTTTGCATTTTTCACATAACTAAAGAAATGGGAACAAATGTTGTCTTTTTGATAGGATGCTATTAACAAAGTGCCTTAAGATCCAGTTGAAGCTGCTTCTTTGTTTGTTTTGTTTAGACTCAACACTGGCTCATCACCTTGAGTTATGGTCTTCTATTCTGCCTGAATGATTAGTTCCGAGTTAAGTGGCCAAAACAATAATAATACATTCCTCTAAAAATGTTTAGCTACAAGGACTGGACTGAAATAAGAGTAAAAGCAGAAAAACTGCTTATCTTCAGAAAACTGGGTTAAAGGAGGAGAGAGAAGGGGCTGATCAGGACTCTGGATCTCTCGGCTGTCCTGTTCAGGATCTCTTTGATTGGATGCTGATGGGGTGGACGGGTGTGACCACCAGAGCTGCTGTTTCCCCGCTGGGATGGATGTTTAACACTGTTCACGGGACGGATGTTCTGGGTCGGACTGGATGAGTTCTGCAGCATTTCCTGCCTGCAGCAGCTCATTTATCCTGGTCCCTGCTGTCCTGTGCTCTCTGGCTTTGGGCACCTTAAACCATGACTGACGAGCTCTGGACCGGGTCAGCTCACCGTCGTGGTTCCACAGGACCACTCTAAATCTTCTTTAGCTTTGCGAAGCCATTTGTGAGAATATATAGAATGGTGTATTAAACTCTAAGAATAATATGTTTGACTGGGTTTGAACTAATCTTAAGGATGTGGGAACTAAATCCAGGACTAATATGTTCTGATTCACTCAGCTAATCCTGATTTGCTGCTTAACTCCCAACAGGTCCATTTTCAACAAGCAGATCAGCTTTGATGAGATTAAATTACTAATCGTTTACATGTTTTTAGGCTCCTTAACACCCTCAGGCTGCACATATTAGCCAATATCCTGAGAGGCATTTAATGCTCTTCGATGTAATTATAGCTGATACAGGATCGGATTATCAAACGTGACAGATTTGTCAGTGAAGAATTCGTAGAGACAAAAGGATTTTAGTTCAAATACTGTTTATTATGGAAAAAGGTCACCGGTTTAATTTTGATTTAAACTGAAACTGAAGACCAAACTCCTTAAGATATTTTTTTTTGTTTTTTTTGTTGTCCATCCATCCCTTATTTTATTAGTTAAAATTATTTTCGGCTTGGCCTCCAGTTCAGCTGGGGGCGGTAATGGGACGGCGAGAAGCCCCAAAGAAGAAGGACCTTTTACGGGGGAACTCCTGGCGGAAGTAAATCAAACGTAAACGTCGGTCCCCTCATTCAGGAGCTGGCCGTTCTGTTTGGCTTGAGCATCAGTTCTCCCCAGCAATGTCTTCTGTTCAGCATCTGAGAGAGTTTGTCAGCCAGCGACTAACTGCTGCCGCAGAAGAAATATTCTCAGAGTTTGAAAAAACCATCGTCCAGTACGAGGACGAGATCGATCGTCAGCGCAGACTGCTGGAAGCCACATGGAAACCCCGAGTTATCCTGAAAGCAGCAGGTATGGGGCAGATATCTGAAAGCGGCGTGTATGGGGATAGTAACTGAACGCAGCAGGAGGGGGGCAGATAACCCTGAACGCATCAGGAATGGGGCAGATAACCCTGAACGCAGCAGGAATGGGGTAGATAACCCTGAACGCAGCAGGAATGGGACAGATAACCCTGAACGCAGCAGCTGTGGGGCAGATAACCCTGAACGCAGCAGCTGTGGGGCAGATAACCCTGAACGCAGCAGCTGTGGGGCAGATAACCCTGAACGCATCAGGAATGGGGCAGATAACCCTGAACGCAGCAGCTGTGGGGCAGATAACCCTGAACGCAGCAGCTGTGAAGCTGGTTCTGGAAGCAGGGCACTGCTCCGAGATTCCTGAAGATGGGACTTTTAGTCCCTTACAGTTTTGTAAAAGCAAACAGATCAAGAGCCCAACGTGCTTCGTAGAAAAAGTCTGAAATATTGTATGGTGACCAAATCTGTTGCCCGGACATGTCCACTTTTAACATCCTGTCCGAGATCAGAAAGGATATAAACTTAGTACTTTTTTGTTTGTCGAGTTTGTATCCTTGTGAGACTGTTTCATTAGTTACATTAAGAGGTATTTTGTTGAAGCTGTACTTTCTAATAAGAGGTCACATTTAAAACATTATTTGATTTTATTTATGTATTTGAAAGGGGGCTATAACTATGTTACTGGTTGTTAAAGATTGTGTTTTACCACCAAAGTTATTTTTTTACTATTGAGGTATAATAAAGCGTGTTAATTGTCATCTGAGAAGCCAGTCGGGAGCCTCCTTTTTGGAAATCAAAATATGGTCACCCTATTATAGAGCAGCTTTCCATTGTTCTAATGATGAACACTTTTAAACTGGAGAAAATGTTCTGTTTTGGGCAGTAAGGAACTCAATGAGCATGTTTAACCCTTTAAAACTGCATGTACCTAAAGTTAAATTTATACTAAAAACATTAAGAAAATTCAGATACAATTTAATTGATAAAAATGTAAGGATTTTCTTCAATTATTTTCTTTCTCAACCATAATTCAGCAAAAGCTCAGTTATGGTCCTTTGTCTTTCCAGACTCCCAGCAGAGCCAGAACTTAGAGGAGCAGGATGCTCTCTGTAGGCTGGAAAAGATTTCCAGTCTGGACCAGGAGGAACCTGAACAGTCACAAATGAAAGAGGAGCAGATGGAGCCCTGCATCAGCCGGGAAGAAGAGCAGCTGGTTATCAAGCAGGAGTCTGACCCCTTTATGGTGACTCCATATTTTCAGGAAACTAACTGCAGTGAATCAGAAACAAACACATCCCAGCTTCTTTTTCAGAGCTCTGCTGTGGCTGAGAGCCAAGATCATGAAGAGGATCAGCACGAAGGCTCCAGATCGGGGAGAAATGAAGAGCCAGAGCTGGATCCCTTTACTCACACTGAGAACCCTCCACAGAGTCTGTGTAATAACGGCTCCGCTAATAAGTCTGTGAAATGCAACATTTGTGGTAAAGAAATCCGGTTTAAGTCTGGGCTGAAGAAGCACCACAGAATCCACACCGGCGAGAAACCGTATTCGTGTAAAACGTGCGGTAGAAGTTTCAATCAAAGCAATCATTTGACTGTCCACATGAGGGCTCACACGGGCGAGAGGCCGTTTGGCTGCCAGATGTGCGGCAAACACTTTAGACGGAGCGAAACCCTGACGGTCCACACCAGAACCCACACCAGAGAGAAGTTGTACTCCTGTGAGATCTGTGGGAAGAGCTTTGCCCAGAATTGCACGCTGACTATCCACATGAGAAGCCACACAGGTGAGAAGCCATACCCCTGCGACATGTGTGGCAAACGCTTTAAGAGAAAATACAACCTGCTGGTGCACACACGGACACACACAGGGGAGAAAGCTACTCCTGTGAGCTCTGTGGGAAGACATTCTCTGTGAGCCGCCCACCACAAGACGGTCCACATGAGGAGCCACACAGGCGAGAAGCCCTACTTTTGTACAAAATGTGGTAAAAGATATAAGAGGGGGGAAAGCTTGGTTTCCCACATGATAATTCATACAGACCAGGAGATAAATGCCCATTCCTGATTTTTGATTTGGACTTTAAAGACTTTAAATGCAAATGTGATGAAGTCATTTTTATTCAAATGAGATTATTTAATTTTTTATTATTGTTATAATTTTTCATATCCAACTGTGGAGAACTGGAACATTTACTTTTCCTTTCCCCTCACCCTGTTGTTGTTTCCATTTCCGCAGCTAATGAGTCCCAATTGTGATTTTCTTAATCTAAATGGCTAAAAAATGACATGGATGGTTCATGTTAATGTGTTGAAAAACAAGTTGACTAAAAGGTGGAACACAGAACTGTGTGATCATTTTATACTTCATGCATTTGAAGACCATTTTGAAGGCCTGGCCCACTTTGCCCGTACTGGAACCCTGCAGGATAAACTGGGCCGCCTAGCTGGGCAAGAAAGTTTGCCATCTTTCCTAGTTCTGGTTCTGGATCAGGATTCTGAATCTCTCTATCGATCTTAAAATGGGTTCTTAATAAATTGGGGCTTAGTGAACTAAACTGAGTGGATAGATTCTGATTGCATTGCAGTACTTTGGAGACTTTAAAGTTATGAAAACATTTGCTGTGATTTGGTGCTTTATAACTTCGTAAACTGAGCTGAATTTATTTAAGATAAAAATGAATTTTGTACATTTTTTGCAGTTTTATTTAATAAATGCCCCATTTGATAACAACACTGAGAGTGAAATGTGCAAAACAGTATGTGAAGTGGTGGTGGTGTTAACCCGATTCTTTAGTTGAAAGCCTGAGAATAAAGCAGAGTAGATCAAGAGTAAATACATGACATTTATTGGTCACAAGCAAAGTAAATCAGCACTGGGCTCTCACAGACAAAGTTCCTGGAGGATCCCAGTTGGCAAGAACCTCAATTTCCGGGTGTGATGGACATTTATCTTCCGGGCCAGGCTGGGCAGTATATGGTACAGTATGACGGCTGGACACAACCGAGTGTTGTTGGCCAGTTAGTTCCTACATGAACAAGCCAGCCCCTAATTCATGCAGATTTCAGTGGAATGTGATAAGAAAGTGTGTGTGTGAATGTGGACCTTTAAGACGAGGATCTACTGTAACAGAGAGAGGAGGAGGATGTGTGGGCACAGCCAGAGAGTTTAACACAAGAGTATAACTCTAAAAGGAATCAGGCAGTCAGTCATTTACATGGATTGAGTTATAACATACGATGCTAAAGTGAGTAACTATAGCCCAATTCTAACAGTGGTGTTGAGCTTTTAAGGGTATTTTGAAATATAATACAGAAAGTTCCCTTTCATCCCCTTTCCTCTTATCTCTTTCCTTATTTTCACTTGTGTTTTATCTACAAATATTCGTTTTTTGCGGTTCATAAAAGTTTGTTTTATTTTGCTTTGTTCTGAAACATCTAATGCGTTTTTGAGAATATTACCAAATCCGAAATGGAAAGACTGCCGGTGACAGAACACTTTACATTAGCAGAAGCTTTAGTACCGAGCTCATTCCACTAGATGGCGAAACGCAAAGGAGCCTGGAATAAATACAACAAAGAAGAAGACGGAACTTCCGGCGGAAGTGAACGGAGAGCGTTAGCCGAACCAACTTTTATTGTGTTATCACGACTGAATAATCTAGTTTGCGCAGTAAAAATGTCTTCAGTTCGACACCTCAAAGCTTTTATCAGCCAGCGACTAACTGCTGCCGCCGAAGAAATATTCTCAGAGTTTGAAAAAACCATCGTCCAGTACGAAGAAGAGATCGATCGTCAGCGCAGACTGCTGGATATTACCTGGAAACCCAAAATAACCCTGAACGCCATAGGTATGCGAATAAAAGTCCCTGTTAACTTAGATATGGAACCGACTCGTCAGGCATCTGAGCAGATTTATTCCTTCGAAGAAAAACCTATTGATCACCACAACGCATCGATTCGGACCCTCTGTGCACGCGCACTGTCTGGAAAATAGCTCGCGGACGGAGGTGGAATTACATTCAGATGGCAAATGATGCCAGGCCAGTGTCTCATATGTCGTCTTCGCATAGTATACTCGGAAAACAGAGCAGGTTTCTGATTTTAGCAGCTAACTGGCAGCCCAGACCAGCTCTGATTTTTAGAAAAAAAATCCCATTAGAGGCTGAAAACGTCAGCAGAGATTGGCTGAAACACGGTCGAACATTTATTTATATACAGTATGTAAGGCAGAAAAAGAGTTGTACGCTGAAAAGGAGCATAACTGTCAATAAGCAGGCTGTGGCTGGCAGACTGCCTGTTACCGGATGACGCCACCAGGGGGCGCATCGCTGGGTCCAGAGGGCTGAGGCCGGCTTTACTGGGTGGAAACGGGCCTCGCCATCATTCTCCGAGGCTGATTTGTAAAATATATAAGTCGCTCGAGGTCTATATTTGCATGTTTACGAGGTTTTCATTCTATGACCGAACAGCCAGTCAGATTTTGGCCAAACTGACCCACATGAAATCTAGATATATCTCTGCTTGCCTGAAATTTTTTCGGATTACATCTTTTTGCACAGCTCTCATTACGCCCAAAATGGGGGGACCATCCTAACCCCCAAATTTGTCATCTGACTCATGTAAAAACAGGATTCTGCCTTCATTATGTGTCCAAAATGAAGAGAATTCTTTCTCTGATTGATGCTGAGGCATCTTTAGTTTTGTGTTATTGTTTTTTTTCCCCTTGATGGACTCACAGACCTTTGTAAAAATGAGCTGTAGTGCCTGAGCCCGATCAGGTCCATAAGAAAAAAACCTACAGAACTACAGCTGCAGAGGCTGTTTCATGCTGGTGGAGGCCCAACCACACCAATAACCTTATTCCCATGTCCTCTTCTTTCAGAACTCCCAAAGCATTACATCCCAAATGACCAGGAGGTTCTGACCAATGAGGTAAACCACAAGAAGAACTCTAGTTCAGTCTGCGGAGAACCAGAACCTCTGCAGGTGAAAGAGGAGCAGGAGGAGCTCTGCATCGGTACAGAAGAAGAGCAGTCTGTCCTTATGCCAGAGATCAACACTTTTAAGGTAATTTCTCCATCTGAGGACAGCGACTCAGATCTAAATGAGGACCAGCCGGCCTCTCTGGACTCTGCTGCAGCTGAGGGGGGGGATCAGGAAACAGACAGGCATAAATTACACAGAAACCTTGTGAAGAATCCGAACCAAATGGATCCCGATAACAGAGGCCACCCTGGGTGTGCTGACAGCCCTCAGATCTCCACTAAAAAGTTCTTCAAATGTGAATTCTTTGGAAAAAACTTTCGCTCTAAATCCAAAATGAGGAAGAACTTTGGGACCCATATGAGCGAGAAGCCGTACGTTTGCAACGTCTGTGGGAAAAGATTCAGCCACGTGTCCACGTTAAAGGTTCATTCCAGGATCCACACAGGGGAGGGGCTGTGGTTCTGTAAGATATGCGGGAGGGGTTTCACTCGGAGAGACATTCTGAGGCTCCACATGAGGATCCACACTGGGGAGAAGCCCTATTTTTGTGAAACATGCGGAAAAAGCTTCAGACACAGCGGCACTTTGACCGACCACGTGAGGACTCACACTGGGGAGAGGCCCTTCTCCTGCCACGTCTGCTGGAAAAGCTTCACCTACAAAAGGGGCCTCACGGTCCACATGAGGACGCACTCGGCTGAGAATCTGTACTCCGTTGAGACGTGGTAAACCGAAGCCAGAGGAACTGATACCAGGGGAGGTGCTGACCAAAAGCAGGTGTGCAAAGATGGACATTTCCCTCACTTTTTCCCTCCCTTAAGGTTTACCTCGGAAAGTTACAATAAATCAGACAGAATGTAAATACCAACTACTCCACAAACATTGTTAGAAGATTTAAATGTGTTAGCAGAGTTATGCAGATGTACACTATATTGCCAAAAGAACCGGCTCTCTGCCTCAAGACTTGCGTATGAACTTTAGTGATATTCCATTCTTAATCCAAAGGCTCAGTATGATGTTGTTCCACCATTTGCAGCAACAGCAGCTTCAACTCTTCTAGAAAGGCTGAACAGAAAATCTTGAAGTGTGTCTGTGGCCCTTTTGGACCATTCCTCCAGAAGTCCATGGGTAAAGGTCAGACTGTGTTGGACAGGACTCAGTCAGGCTCAGCCGCACCGAACGGTCTCATCACGTCTCCATGGACCTGCTTTCTGCTCTGATGCTCAGTCCAAAGCCATCCTACAAACATGGGACCCCCTCCCCCCCTCCACCACACCTTATGCTTGGCACAAAAGACTCAGACATGACCCGCCACAGCCAGACTGGTCCCTTAGATTTGACCCAATCTGAGGGCTGCATGATGTGTGCAGGTCACAGCGACAGACTGTGGACTCTGTGCCTGGAAGACATGATTTTCATTATCTGGATGGGTGAGCCATTACTTTTGGACGTATGGGCTATTTCATGTACATAAAGTCAGGCTGGAGTTGTTCTCTTGGTCAGATTTGCCCACATTTATTTGACTCCCCCCAACCCCCCTCCTTCTTTTTTGTAATTTTTTTTTTAAGTTTGTTGTTCTGATACTTGACCAGTGCCTCATATGAACTGAGGTCATTTGCTATTCCTCGTGTGTTTAGCCTTTATCATGCAAAACTTGGGTGCTCGTGCTGAACAGAACCACTCCGGGTGGTCAGACGCCTTGGCTGGTGGGGTGTAAGGGACAGAAAAACTAATGAAGCTTTAAGTTGGATGATGAGAGCTGACCTTATGTGCCTGTCATCCATTTTGGCTTTCCCTTTTTGGCCTCCATCCCGCTGACACCACCTGCTGGTTAATATGCTGCTGGAATATTTGAAACTGCTATTTATTCAGACACTAAGAACCTGAGCTTCTTTTTAAAGGTCAGGTGACCTCAGAAAGCCAGGGAGAGGAACCTGACTTGTGTTTGGTGAGTTGTTTGTGCTTGAGTCACCGGAGAATGAGCACATTTGACTGCTAACTTTGCTTCAGCCCCTCGGCTCCAACTTTTTCTCTGCTCAGTAATGGACTTTGTGAGCTCACAAGTCAGATCTTTGGCCTGATTCCTTTTTGCTGGTCCAACATAAATGCCCCCTCCCCGTCCCAAAATGAGGTCTATTTTTATCTAGTCCCAGGGACAAACACAATTGTAGGTGTTTTGTGTAGAACTGTTGCACTTTTCTACAGATTTGTGGTTGGTTTTAGTTCTGTCTGAATGTGCAACACGAATAAACTGCTTTGACTTGAATCTGTGTTGTTCCATTAGTCAACAGTCCTACAGCCATTTTAGATCTACTTTTATTTTACTTCTCAACAATTTTCACACAGAAAAAACAGCGTATCAAGACAGGAAGCAATAATCCAAGTGGAAGACATGTTTTATGCTCTTTAAGTCTTTGGAGGTTTCATTTTTTAAGGGGTCTTGAAACTTTTGAACAATTGATTTGACTATGTAAATCATTCTATCTTGACGTAAGGCATGAGATTGATTTAAAAGGATAATACCTCTTTGTGTGTGGATGTCAGAGGTTAAACAGGGGCCAGCATATTCTGGATTTAACCAAGCAGGGATGTCACTGTGGCAGAGTTTCCAGGAACTCGTCGATTTCTCTGCGCATCAGGTTTTTGTCTCTGGCCTTCCTCAGCTCTCTGATGCTGTTCTGCCGGTAACTGGACGGTTGTGGTATCTCTGCTGCCTTCATGTGGTTCTCCACAGACCTCCGGTAATCATTTCTAATGAAATAGAAATGCTTTGCATAGCAGTTGTAAAGCATCTGCGTGTCCACAGCCTCTAGATCCTGTTTCAGAAGCTGGTTGAACATCTGTTCGGCCTCTGCAGGGTTCTGCTTTGCACAGATTTGTGCCAGGTTCATCTGCATTTCCAGCGAGGACTCCGGATAGAGGGCGATCACCTCCTTGCACAGAGTGATGGCTCTCTCTATCATTTTGGGCTCCTCATTCCTCCGCTCGTCAAAGATCCTCCTTTTGTAGCAGACGGCCGCGGCCCTCTTCAGAAAGCGCGACTCGGGGTGCCTTTGCAAGGCCTCCTCTGCCAAATGTATGGCCTCATCCATGGAGATGTACTGTCTGTAAAGCCTCAACAGCGTGTTCATGCCGCTGTAGGTGCCCACCGGCTTCTGGAGAATCTTTTGCGCCAGCTGGCGTGCCTCATCTTCCACGTCTTCCCCGCAGGCCGCGCGATTCTCCAGGTAGAAGGCAGCCAGGTAGGTGTTGTCCGGGTCGTGCTCTTTGGCGACTCTCATCTTCCCGATGATGTCGGCCCCCAGGTCTTTAATGTTCCATTTGAAATCACTTGACAGCGCAATGACGCGGCTGGTCTGCCACTCCACCCGGTCCGGCTGCATCCTGATGGCTCTCTGGAAGAGGTCCACAGCCTTCAGCTTCTTCTCTTTGCCGAACTTCATCAGGGTCCAGGCCTTCTCCGCACAGATCTCCGGGTGGGGCTCGTCCTCGGACGGAGACGGGTACTCCGTCCTCAGCCTGTGGACCGTGGCCAGGTAACCCCGGCTCTGGGCAGGTTCTCCCATGAGGAAGGACAGCCAGGCCAGATTCCCATAGTTCACCACCAACCAGGGGCCCTCATCCGACACCTCGTTCCTCATCTGGCGGAAAGCCTCCGTGGCCCTGCAGAAGAGCCGCCGGGCCTCTTCATCCTGGTCCAGCAGGTGGTGAAGAAACCCCAGCAGGTTGTATTTTTGACCCAGCCAGCTGAAGCCCTCCTCATTCCCCATGTCCTCCAGCAGGTCCCGGACGAAGGAAAGCTTGGACCGGCTGGCGTCCAGGTCCCAGGTGAAGTGGCACTCCAGAGCCTCCAGTTTGGACTCCATTGAGGACGGACTGTCAGCAGCACTGAGGGAGTCAGATAAAGAATCAATGCATAGAACATTTATCATCTGGCATTTATTTGTAACGTGCTGCCTGTAAAATAGTGTTACAACTTTGCCAGAAAGAGAAAAAAATCTGATCCCACTTGAAGCTGATGAGCCTCAGTGTTCTCCTTACAGGTAGACCACACAAACAGCTTTTGAGAGGTTTCATGATATCTCTTTCTTCAAAAGCGAGATTTAAATTTCCTCCCAAATCAAATCTGATTTGTAGATTTTTTTTCTTCTAGAAGGTTGATAAATGATTAAAGAGAAGTTTCCATAAAGGAGATACAGCAAGTGCACCACAGTCAGAAAATAAACAGTTCTTTATAAAAAAAACAACACTTATTCTACTTTATTATATTCTTATTTGACTATTACAGTTCCTTTTACTGAGCTTGTCTTGTCCGAGTCATATCTTACAGCAGGATTTGATGCTAAATGAACTTCCAACTTCCCTCACTGTTCTCCAGCTGTTTCTTTTCTTTCAGCAGTTACCGAGCAGAGTCACCTCAGCCTGAGCACTTCAGCACCAGAATACAATCTGAATGAAGGACTAAAGCACGTATTCAGTTCTCTCTAAAGGCAGACACTCACCTCATCACTCATCCGATGCATACAGTTGTGTTCAGGTTCTCCTTTTTGTGTCTGTGGCTTTCTGAGAAGCACCATAAACTCAGTAATGTTTAACCTTTGTGGTCCTGTAAATACAATTATCTCTGTGTGTAAAAGAAGTGAGTCAGACTCACTCTGTCAGCCTTTTATGGGGAATTTATTACCAGGAATAACACGTGGCAGCAAACTGGGAACTCCCATTTGAGATCCTTGTCAAGCTTTCCGATAGCATCCTGTGCATGGCCCAAACCCAGTCTCGTTTTGGTACCAGTGGATCTGAGATACCACGTCATCAACTCAAACAACGAGCGAGGGGACCTTGATCTCAGGAGCTGAGTTGGGAGTTGATGAGCCACCTTTTCCTCTGAAACAGAAACGCGGTGAAGTGGATCTGAACGGGCCGGGTGGAGCTGGCGTCAGAGCCAGGGAACCGAAAGCTGACCTTACATCTTTATCTTTGGGTTGGGCACATAACAGCAAGCCATGCAGCTCAAAGGTGAAGGTCCTAGAGACACGCAGGTGGAATTCCACCTCTAAAAGTTGTGTGTCTTAAAAGTGTCCAAAGTCAAAAGCTGGAACCAGAAAAATATTCCTCTTCTTTCTGTAATATCTGGTATATGTAATTTACTAAAACAGAGATGACTGGAGGGTAGTGCTGCCTGAATGATGTTTCTGTCACTAGAACCTGTGGTTGGTCTGTAAATGCTTTACATGACCTCATGGAAAGGGGGCACAGTAATGGAAAAAAGGATCCCGTCAGTAATCTGAAACCAGATCCTCAATCTGACTGAATCTGATCATACTGGGAATGATGTCAGATATCTGAGCTAATGCAGAAAATTGCATTATTATTATCAGGAGACACAGAGCTGGCATCCTGCTCCTTTCAAAATCATCCTCTGATCATCGTCTATTTTTAGGTGAATATTTGAGTTCAAACGTTCGCACTTGATTGATACTTTAGATAAAAGGGTGAACTGACTTGCCTCTGCCACTAGGGGACAGCATTACACTAAACCGGAAATGCACAGCCGGAGAAGAAGAAAGCCGTGAGGCGGCTTCCTGTGCGACAGAAACACAGATAGCATGTAGCCGCTGTGCTGGGTTTTCCTCTGCCTCCGACCCGAAAACGGAGACCGTGACCCTCTGAGGGCTCGGTGAGTTAAAAAAAAGAAGGGTGTATTTGCCTGTGACGGCTCGGGGGGTTTTTTTTTTTTTTTTAAAAGGCGACCGCGACCCTCTGGCGGCCTTTGGTCAGCTGGAGCAGGTCTGGGAGCCGAAGGGGGGTTTCGGGTCAGCCGAACTTTGTCCGTGTGTTTCCTCAGGCTATGATGTGACGGAGCAGCGCGTGGAGGGCAGGCGGAGGGTGTGAGTGCCGAGACCGGGATGGACACCTGGACCCCGAACCCCCGAGCCAAGCCTTTCATCCCGCGGCAGCAGCGGAGCTGGTACCTCACCTGGAAGTACACGCTGACCAACAAGAGGGCGGTCCGCCGGTTCTGTCAGGTCTGTGGGTCAGCCTTAATCTCACAGGAAGAAGTTGGGAGCCTTCACATCAGACTTGCACCAGTCAGACCATCTTAGAAAACCAGGACTAAACGGCCCAGATGTACAACATTTAGGAGTTACCACGGTTCTGAACGGGTCCACAGAAAAAAAATGCTTGTATACATTATTTTCTGCACGCATAACCCTTCAACAGTCAGCTGAATTCAGAGCAGAAATGGGAATAAAACTAGGATAGACCAAGTTTGTGGTGTGGTACAGCTCTTGAGTGTGTTCCTGGACAACATCGTATCCCCACACCCAGAGGAGTAATATTCTGTATTATCTGTGATATCCCAGGTCATTTTCAAGCTCCAGCACGATCCGGTTCCATCAGATGGAGGTTCTGAAGCTCCTTCTGTGGTTTTAGCTGGCAATTCAGGCGCAAATTGACAATAAACAGGAGACCGTTAGATCGTAAATGCACAAACTACCTACAAAATCAACAAAATAAGACCAGAAACACACAAACTGAGTACGAATAGAAGAAAAATAACACCAAAAACGCACAAACCGAGCACAAAAGTGGGCCTGGGTGGGGAAGCACTGCCCCTCTGACGTCTGGGCCATGTCCCCGCTGTAGGTCGGCGCTGTGCTGTTCCTCCTCGTAACTGTGATCGTGAACATCAAACTCATCCTGGACACGAGACGAGTGGCTGACGAGGACGCGGCCGCTCAGGACTACGGTCAGGAGGCTGCCCGGCTGCGTTCCCCTGCTGTTGGCTCAGTGCAGCTGTTCTGAGGAGACTTTTTCTTTTGCAGAGGATGCCGTTCCCAAAATGGAGACGCCGCGCAGGCCGGCCAACGGGCGCAAAGTGCTGGATATCGAAGTGTACTCCAGCCGCTCCAAGGTCTACGTGGCAGTGGACGGGACCACTGTGAGTGGCCCACACAAACTACCCCTCACAGTCCAGAAAACTGCTCTGTTGTTGGCAGAAAGAGTTGGGAAGTTTGTGATTTAAAGCACCATTCAGTTTTTTCCCATCTTCTGAGGTGGAAAAATAAAGAAAGCAGGCTGATCAGGAGCTTCTTATGGACTCTGTGTTCTGTAGCATAAAACAGAGAATCGGCCCTCTAACGGGTTCAATCGCCCGCCTGTTGCTCACTGCAGGTCCTGGAGGATGACATGCGAGAACAAGGTCGAGGAATCCACGTGATCGTCCTCAACCAGGCGACTGTGAGCATCAGCAGCTTTTAGCGTGGATCCGTTTAGAACCACATGAGCTCAGATGGGTCCTGGCCTCTGTTTCAGGGCCACGTGATGGCCAAAAGGATCTTTGACACCTACTCCCCCCACGAGGACGAAGCCATGATCCTCTTCCTCAACATGGTGACTCGGGGTCGGATCCTCATCTTCACCATTAAGGTGAGACGCATCCAGCCGTGTGTAGCTGTGGACGTCCTTGTGTGTTCATCACCTGACCCGTTTTTCTCCGTCCTACAGGACGAGGGAACTTTCCACTTGAAAGATGCCGCCAAGAACCTGCTGAAGGGTCTGGGTAGCCAGGTGTCGCTGGGCCTCAGCTGGAGGGACATGTGGACTCTGGTGGTGAAGAAAGGAGGTGAGGGTGGGGGCTTACCCCTTAGTTGGACAGAAACCAGAGAAAATCTTTGAGTTTTTATGTGATCAAGGGGCAAAACGGGAACATTTTTCCTTCCCTGTAAATGAGATCTGAGCTAGAAAATCTAGAGGGAGCTCAGAAGGTGCGGGTTAGGGAGGATTTTAACGCACGGGGGGGTCTGGGTTTCCCTCCTGAACCTGCTGGCTCTGACACCCGGGCTTTGGTGAAGCATATTTATGAGTGTGTGTTTGTCCAGGTCAGGTTTATGGGGAGAAGCACTCCAAGTCTCCCGCTCTGTCCACTTGGGGCGACCCGGTTCTGCTGAAGACGGAGGTGCAGCTCACGGCCTCTGAAGGTAGGAAGCGGACCCTCTGCCTCTGATCGGCTGTAGGGGGAGAGGTTTCAGGCCGCTGAGTAACGTTCTGCGGTGCCGTGCAGAGGCGGAGTGCCACTGGGCCGACACCGAGCTCAACCGGAGGAGAAAACTGTTCTGCAGCAAGGTGGAAGGATACGGCAGCATCTGCAGCTGCAAGGACCCGGCACCCATCGAGTTCAACCCTGACCCGGTGAGAGCTGAGGTTTTACTGAGAGTTTGTCAGTCTTCAAAGCTGAGTGAACATCCATAGACGTTTCATGGATCAGCAGCCAAATTTCTTTCCTGCTCTGTGCTTTGATTGTTTTTACGTGCTTTCTGCTTCCAGCTGCCCATCAATAACGTCTTGAACGTGCCCGTGGCCGTCATCGCCGGGAACAGACCCAACTATCTGTACAGGTGAGGGGGAATAAGCATCCCTGGTTCTGATGGTTTCAGGTGTACTTGTTAGTTTTTTTATAAATGGATCAGTTTGCACCTTTTTGGCCGTTCAGAGAAATGAGTAGATAACCTGCTCTTAAAGAGACAGACGGCAGCTCTGATTTAGAGGCATTGGATCTATACGTGTGTTTTCAGGATGCTGCGGTCGCTGCTCTCAGCTCATGGCGTCAACCCGCAGATGGTCACCGTCTTCATCGATGGATATTATGAGGTACCAGGTTTCAGACGCTCTGAGTGGAAACATCCTCCGGCAGAGTAATGACAGAAAAAACTTTCCTCAAATTGTTTATGAGCTGTTTAGTTGATGTCCAGAAAAATGAAGTGACATTCACAACATTTCTCTGTAGACCAGCAGATTGAGTTAATTATTTAAACGATTTATAAAGAACTATTGAAGCTGAATTTTGTGCTCTCCGTCTGCATGCCTCAGGCTGTAATCATTAAAGCCTGAATCCTTTGGAGCAGGAAGACATTGGGTTCTTTGGCCTGTCTAGATTTAGAACATTTTTAAGCTTCTTTACAGTCCATTCGGTTTACCTGTGAGCTCACATTTCCTAGGATGCCCGGGGAGAAAAGCTTTAATATAGACGTCTGCTCTATAACTGCTCGTGATTTTTGGTCTTATTCAAGGATCTGGATGTTTAGACCTGCTACCTTAATGGAAGGTAAATCTGGAGATCTCAATATTCTTTGAACGGTTAAAACTCCAGTAAAAATACTCTTGCGTTGGCAAGAGTCCAGATATATTACTCCAGTGAGAATGATTGGTCCAGAGCAAGTGTGACATCCAGAAAGACATAAAGTCCATGCTGAGGCTGCTGAGCCTCTCTGCTGAGCTGCTGGCCCAGAAGCAGACCCAGCTGAATCCTGGTGGTGTGTTTGCTGACTCAGGAGCCCATGGACGTGGTGGAGTTGTTTGGACTGAAGGGAGTTCAGCACACGCCGATCAGCATCAAGAACGCCAGAGTGTCTCAGGTAACGGCAGCCCGGCTCACCTCACCTCACCTCACTTCACAATGGGCCAGGTCCAGTCACTAACCCGTCCGCTTGTCTCAGCACTACAAGGCGAGTCTGACCGCCACCTTCAACCTTCATCCGGTCAGTACCAGCACCCCCCCACTGCTCAGAGCCCAGTGTGGATGCTTCAGCTGCTCTCATCCTGTTTCTTTTTGTTCACCAGGATGCTAACTTTGCCATCATACTGGAGGAAGACCTGGATATCTCCATCGACTTCTTCAGGTACGAGAGGAGCTTCATTTAAAGGGAAAGGTCAAACAATATTTTCTTTAAAGATTTTGGATCTAATCTAAGCCTGGTTTCTTTAACCCTTAAAACATTTCCTGAGCAGCAGTTCTGCAGCTTTTTAAAGCTCTCTTAGCTCTTTTTTTTCTGCTTTTTCTCTCAGTCCTTGTAGCTGAGCATTTTCAGAGGAATATGTTTTTTATTTGTTCAGCCAGTTAACTGAGTTTTGAATCATTCAAGCAGGAAAATGGCCCCTAACTCAAGGGATGAACCAGTGTTGTCCACACAGAACAGACAAATTAGCAAAGAATCAGTTCAGTTGGGTCTTTAGGCTCTTTGTTACTAGCAGCCTGTCACAAAGACACATCAGTTGTTCCCATTTCTTTAGCAGATGTGAAAATGACAAAGATAACACAGTTTGACTGACAGAAAACAGGATTTTTGAAGGCAGCAACAAGCTATCTCCTAAAGACCGAAACTTAGCATAGACTCCTTAAAGAAAGGACCCAGAGCTGGTTGGAGAGGGTTCAGGCTGTGCTGGAGAATGAAGGAGCTCAGAGCAGAGATTCACTTTAAGCTGCACAATCACACAGACTCTGTTTCTGCTGCAGCTTCCGGATTTATCCGATTTTAGCTAATTAGATTGTGCTGAATTGCTGCCTCTGTTGTTTGAACAACTGGTCATGCTGCAGACTCTCCACCAGATGGCAGCAGATCCGCAGGAGCTCTCCATCTTTCCTTTTTTCAAATGTCCCCATCCTGAAATCTGCAGATTCTTTTGATTTCTTCTTATGTTAGCGCAGAGTTCCGTTAGGGCTTGTTTACCTGTTGTTTGATTCCGGCATGACACAGTGTGCCTCTTAAGCTGCTTCCTCTGTGTTTTTGGCAGCTTCCTGAGTCAGACCATCCACCTGCTGGATGAAGACGACAGCCTGTACTGCATCTCTGCCTGGAACGACCAGGTGAGCCTCCTGCTCTTTCCACAACCCACAGCTTGGGCAGAGGCTCATCTTCCTGCTCCCTCTGGCAGCTGCCAGGTGGCTTTGTCTCGGCTCTCGGGTGTTAGGCAGACTGTCTCCGCAGAGAGCCTTCTGAATGTTGTCGTTGTTGAGCAGGGCTACGAGCACACGGCGGAGGACCCGGCTCTGCTCTACCGGGTGGAGAGCATGCCCGGTCTGGGCTGGGTGCTGAAGAGGAGTATCTACAAGGACGAGCTGGAGCCAAAATGGCCGACGCCAGAAAAGGTACAGCTCTTTACATTAGAGCAGGGCTTCTCTGATTGTCAGCAACCGTTCTGAGTTAGACGTCAGGCTGTTTGCAGGAGGTCCTCAGTCACACCAGACTTTATGTTTTCTCATTCAGCTCCGAAAATAAACCAAAGGGCTGCTCAGCAGGTCCTAAAATCAGACTAACATGGCTCTAAATAACTGAATAAACTCATTCTTCTCTGGGTTTTAAGCCAAAGAAAGAACCAGCTGGAGGGCATCCTTCCAGAGCTTTTCACCTGCCGCCTCTGGTCAGCTGAGCTGGGGGGCGGAGGATAGTGGGCAGCAGGGAGCAAACAGGCTGGAAAAAGTCTCTGAGAGTCTTAAAAACAAAGGAAACAAAGCAAAAACTGTTAAAAGGAGCTATTTTCATCCAACCTGGAGGTTAGAAAAGATGACTCACTGATCCCAGTCTGGTCTAGAAAGGAGAGTTTGGTCTTCAAGAGCCATCATACAGTATCAAACTGTAAAGGCTTAAATTACACTTTCATTTAGATTAAAATATTAGCAGCCACCCACAACTTCATACCTTAAAGATTATTTGTATAGAACATTAAGAAGAATATACTTTATTGTGTCTTTTTTTTCCTTTTTTTTTTTACACGCTGCCATTAGTAGAAGTTGTCAATCTAGAGTCAAACTTAACCATGCTGAACAGATTTTTTGGGAGTTTCTGAACAGAATGAGTCGGAATGGGCCCTCTGCCTGCTCCGACTCGGCCTGCTCTGACTGGTTGCTTATATCTTGTAGCTGTGGGATTGGGACATGTGGATGCGCATGCCGGAACAGAGGAAGGGCCGGGAGTGCATCATCCCAGACGTGTCCCGCTCCTACCACTTTGGGATCATCGGCCTCAACATGAACGGATATTTCCACGTAAGCTCATTCATTGCACACGCACCCACCCACACAGAGTCCAAACAGCCTCCAAAACCAGGAAAAACGTCTGAGAACGGACTAGGACGTCACTCGTTTCAAGAATTAGGGAGGTTCTGGTTCTCATCCCACTGTAGAAAAGTTTGAGCTTTTCAAAGCAAACTGGATTTCATCATCCGCATCAACGGACAGCCTGACTCTCTGGCTCTTGCTGTGCCCCTGAATGCATTAGCTTTAAAAACTCTTTTTTGTGGATATCTGTTTGGATGGAGAGTCTGGAGACTCAGAGTGCTCTGAGGTTCTGCGTGAGAAACTGCTTTCATTAAAAAATTAAGAGAAGATACTTCAGGAATGATGAAAAGATCAGTCAAAAAAACTGCAAAGTTAGAGGTTCAAACCTCAAATTTTTCTATTAAAGGAATCAAACTCTGCATATTATTAACTAAAGTGATTTACTTTAAAACAAATTCAACTGACTGCTTTCTAAAGCATGAAGTATAAATGATCTGCTCTGTGTTCCACCTTTTTTTCCAACAAAGTTTACAAACATTTTTTAAAATGGATTGCAGAATAGAGCTCACTGACAGGAAATGATGTGTCACTTTGGAGGAAAAACAGCAGGAATCATGAACTCTTTGGACTATCGTTTGGATCAGAGGCTAATGTGTTGATGTATTCTGATCTAACAGGTTTATATCAGTTTAAAAGAGCAGAGTATGAACCATCCATGTCAATTTCAGCCAGTTACATGAAGAAAACCACAGTTAGGAGTCAGTAGCAGCAGAAATGAAGACAAAAGGAGGGCTGAACTGTTCAGACTCTTTCTGTTAAGCAACATTCAATCAGTTTAGTTTAAATGTCCTCTGTTCTCAGATCAGGTCTTGTCTCTGGAAGTGTGGCTGTGATAAAACATGCAGACGGTTGCACTGATTTGTTCTGTTTTTTCTTCTCTGTGCTGCAGGAGGTGTATTTCAAGAAGCACAAGTTCAACACGGTACCCAATGTGCAGCTAAAGAGCGTGGACAGGTGTGTGCACGGTGATGATGCAGCTGTCTGAGCAGAGACTGCAGCACTCTGACTGATGTATTGCTGTTGTTTCAGTTTAAAGAAAGAGGCTTATGAGGTGGAGATCCAAAACCTGCTCAGGTGAGTGATGAGCAACATCCCAGCTCGCCGTGTGTGTGTGTGGGGGGGTGGGAAAGGAACTCCAGACTGTGTGAACCATGTTGGTCTAAGACTGAAGCTCACGCTGAGGACTCATCAGAAGTGGAAGCAGCACAGCAGCTGTCACTGTGTCTTAGAAATCTTTCCAAAGTTCCCACAGGGGGTCAGAAACTGACTGAAACCATGAACCAACATGTGGACATTATCTGTGCAAAGACTCGAGCTGCTGGAGTGAAGCAGAGCAAAGCTACAGGTTTCTGTACAGCTGGAGCTCTGTGATTGGCTCTTTAACACGTTATGGCCCCACATGGAAAAAGCTGAGATTTCTGAGCCGTTTAAACACACAAATGATTTGCCTTCATCTAAATACCTAAAACAGATGATTTTTCAATGATTTTCCAAAAAGTTCCCCACACATTTATTTCTACCTTCATTTAAATGTCTCGTACACAGTATCTTCTCCTTTCTCAGGTCACATGGGTTGGTATACTCTGCTTTTAGTGGCCCATTTGAATGACTGAGCCCCGGTTTGAATCCATTCAATCATGCTAACATGGCCTTGTTGGCGTCAAAGCCACCAATAAGAGGGTGGCTCTTCTTTTCATAAACACAACCACAGCTGTCTTTGTGTTTGTGACCCAGAGAGGCAGAGCTTCTGGACCACTCGAAGAACCCCTGTGAGGACTCCTTCTTGCCGGACTCTGAGGGGAAGGTCTACGTCATGTTCATTAAGATGGAGTCTGAATTAGACACGTCCACCTGGACCGAACTCGCCAAGGTTTGCCCGGCTGCCTCCTGCTCGGTGAGTGTTCGTCTCTGGACCTGACCAGAATCAGAAGGTTTGTGCTGTCCTCCCTGCAGTGCCTGCATGTCTGGGACCTGGATGTTCGCGGATACCACCGAGGCCTCTGGCGGCTCTTCAGGAAGAGAAACCACGTCCTGGTCGTGGCGGTGCCCATCTCTCCCTATGCGTGAGTACCGCTCGGATGACGCTGATGATGGTACCACACATTCACAAACACTTCAGAAAATGTGTAGCTCTGTAAAGGGGTGGTCCACCCTCCTCAGGCCCAGCTGTCCATAGAGGACCCTGCAACCAGAAGAGCGGGTTTCTGGGATTTTGTTCAACATTTATGGAAAGCAGCTCAAACATGTAAAACTGTTCCTTTGGATAGTTTAAAGCCAATCAGGTCTGGAGCAGCTTTCTGACACGTTGGTGTTTTAATCTCTAAATATTCTCCAGGTTCATGATAACAGATCTGAGGCCTCTGACCTCACAGAGCTCAGACTTTCCCCTTTAGCTCAAAACACAACTTCAGTTCGATGAACTGAAGTGAACCAGCTGCTTTTCAGCTGCTCGGGAGTGTTGGTGCAGCTCTGTAAGCCCCAGGTGATGTGTGTGTTATCACATCCAGCTGTGTGCACCCTCAGGAAAACTGAAGCTCCGGGATTGCACCCTGAGGAGCTCCACATGCCAAGATGAGCTGCAGACTGTAACTGGTTTCTGTTTTCTGCCCTTCCCTTGCTTTACACCCAGGGTGAAGAAGCCAGCTGCTGTCACTCCCATCCACTTGGAGCCTCCCCCCAAAGAGGAGGGGGCGCCGGTGGAGCCGATGTAGAGCCCACCCAGACCTGGGCAGGCCTTTAACCAGCCCTGATCCACCCTGAACCGTGGCAGGTGTCCCACATTGGGACACCACAGCTCATGCCGGGTCTCACGGCCGAGACAGATTTCTGCCGACAGAAACCCTCCAGAACTTTTAACTGTTTGCGTGTTTTTATTTAGTTTTCAAACTACTGAACAAACATTTTTAACTTATTTATTTTACATCAGCCGTTTTTCATTTTCGAAGAGAAAATTTCGTCGTGGTCAGCCATTTCTAAGAGTCCAACATTTACAGAGTATGTACATACAAGCTGAATTATATCGGTATATTTTTGATGAAAGATGCAAAGGGTTGGCATATTTTTTAGTCAGATCTGTGAGAAGAGAAGCCCTGTGGGCTCTGGATACAATGAGCAAACCTTAAAGGACACATTTCCCTTATAGATGCTTTCACTGACTGGTACGTTTGCTGTAACTGGATCTGGGATGAGATGTAATGAGGATGAATGGTGGTGGGCCAAGCTTGGACGTTCAAATTCTGTCCGTGTTTTGAACATCCGAGTCAAACCAGAAGGATTCAGATAATCAGTCGATGGTGGAAACGTGTTTGTTCCGAATGGTGAGGAATGTCAGCTCAGCTCAAACGGGCCCTGCCAACGTCTGAACTCCCTCGATCTGCTGAAGCTTGACCTTTCAGTTTATTTCGGCTGCCGTCAGGAAAACGGAATCCATCCAGCTGTTTGTTTTGTGAGCAAAAAGGGCCAGATGTTGGTGGGGTGTCCCCTGTGGTCACATGATGAGCATTGTCTAGCTCCTGGAGCTTTTTCTGCCTCTCTGCTCACGTCATCCTGTGTTCACGGACCATCTTTCAGATTCGCTCTTTACAAAACTTTTTTTCCCCGTCAGGATTTTGGATATCTCTGCAGGTTAAAGAGCTCTTGTTCTTAAAAATCAGGATGATGCATGTTGCATTTTTCTCCGGTTTCACACCAGTCCTAAAAAGGCTGAGTGGAAACGTGACCCCAAACTGTGAAACTGAGGCACATTCTCACTCATTGTTTCTCGGTGACCTCTTCTAGAGGCCAGCGTTCTGGATTTTCAGTTCTCCACATTTCCAGATGTCTCTGCATTCTTTCAAAACGTTTTTCTTTGCATAGGTGGTTCATTCAGACTTGGCTCTGAGCGTTGTCATTAGTCTGAGCCTCAGTTTGTTCAGTATTTTAGATCTGTGTGAGGTTTGGTCCTCTTTGGCCACCATAAAGGGGGGGTGCCCTCTGTGACTAGTCAGAAGTTACCTGCCATCTGTTGCTCATCACTTTGTTGTGAGAGCATGAGAGAGATTTATTTGGGGGGCTTTTAGCTCTGAAAATCCAGTATAAGACGTAGTTCTAAACAGGAAATAAACCAAGTGGAGGAAAAACAGGTGGGCATCCAGAAGAGAGAAATGAATAGTTCTTTTTGAGTTAGTGATTTATATGGTGTTCTTTCAGCATTTTGAACCAGATTTCATCCCTTTCTGACAAATGCCTAACAGGTATTGTATGGTGGTGCTGGCTACACTAAGATCATTGCTGCTCCGGTCATGATTTCTGATTTGTGTCTCATCAGTGACAGTGGGGGGGGTTGTTGGGGGGGGTCTTTCAGAGGTTAAAACCCCTGAGAATCTCCTCCTTTTACTTCATGAGTGACTGAAAATGTCTTTTATCTTCTGAGCGTGAATAAAAAAAAGTTTTTGTCTAAGTCTGTTGCCCTGTTTTCTGCTCTAAACCAGATTAAAAATCCCTCATACTTTCAGATTCCATGAAAGCTCAGAGCTGTGGCCTTCAGGTTTCCCTCGGCTTATCAGTGGGTGAGAGGAAACCCGGTGTATGTAAATATAGGGTTTGGTGGGTTCCCCCAGCTGACCGGGACGAGCTGTGGCTTCCTGCCCTTCAGCCTGACTTCTTACATCACTCATGTAAGCAAATCACAGCCGGCCTCCTTTAAAAAGGGCCAGACGTCTCTTTTTCTGCTGGAACCTGTTTTGTCTCAAACTGCGGGATGATTTTTATTCACAAAATGATTTATGTAACCCAAACCCTGTTTGGAGTGTTTGAACTTGTGAGCTACCGGCAGACTCTGCCTCACACTTCCAGCCCCAAACCAGCCCTCTGTGTACGTTTACAGAAATTTTGACTATGTTTCAACCTGATCTGCCTATAAAAAGGAGCCTCATGGCTTCATGTCTGCAGATGGGACAGTGTCATTGAACCCAGAAAGCATCACAGTTTCTGATTTAATGGACATGGTTTGACTGGCAACAAAACATTTGTTTAACCCATCAATGTTGTTTTTCATATACATATATATATATATGTATAACAGATTTGAAGTCCAAGATTTACTAATTAAAAGGGAACATATAAGCAGGCTGAACTCTCCTCTTGTCGGCCTCGGCTGCGTTATTTCTCTGTATTCTGATTAAATTCAGGCTGAAAAGATATATGCAGAGACCAGTCGTCTGACATTTGGTACATTTTATTAAGTAACGGCACGTGTTTCCACTTGATTAGTGCTCATTAGAACAAACGGAAGGAAAGTGAATCCGGTTTAGCCTGAGTGGGTGAAACAGAAGGGCCTGACTGTGTTTCCCGGCTTCAGGTGGTTCTGTTCTTCAGGTGGCAGTACATGTACATGGACAGGGTCATGGCCGTCACCTGGGGGTCATCCAAACATTTACTCACACATGTTGAAGCTCAACCAGATTTAATTTTCTTTGAAAAGGAGATTTTTCTGTGCTGTTACCTCCAACACCCCGACTCCCGCTGCGATGCCCCCCACGATGAAAACGTGCACAGTGAGGATCTCCAGGATGCCCTGAAGACAGCCCTGAGGAAGATTCAGTTTCAGAAAAACAGAATACACAAAAAACAGCAGCTGTTTCATTTCAATTTCCTGTCTGTCTCGACAAAACTGTGGCATGTAGCGTCAGCGTTTTCTACATGCGAGCTTCTGCTGCTGCTGTCCTGCAGGACTGAGATGTTTCCTGCTTCTTAACTGCTGATTCTTTTCAATTGGATCTCTTCTAAACATGTTCAGCTTTGCACCGCCCGTTGAGGTGAGTCAGAAAACATCTAAAACCGTCATAACTTTTACAGTCTGAGATGGAAGACTGGTCTGTGTACATCTGGTGTTGGTGTGCGCATATTCAAGCAGCGTTTTTCCACAGGAAGTGATCTCATCTGTCAGGCCGGAGGTAAAATGTTCATATTTATGTTATTCTAAAAGTCACGATGTTTGTGTTTTTTGTTTTATTTTACGTGTTCGGAGCAAAAAGTCCCACACAGTGGAGTGAATGTGCACTGAGCCTGAGCGTTGCTCTCCACCTGCACAGGCCGGCGTCCAGCTTCTGCCGCCCTGCACAGGCTGGCGTTGGCGTGGCAACAGCTGGCCGGCAGGCTGCCCCCACTCTGCTCCTCGAACCTGGATCCCAGAAAATCGGTGTAGTTGGAGAATCCACAGCAGCTCATCTGTAAATATATCACACAGTGGATTAACGGAGGGTTTTCACCCTTCCTTTTTATCATAATTACTTCAATGTATGATCTGTATCATGAAGTCAGATGACTATTTTCTGCTCAGGTTTAAACTCTGGTTTGTGCACCATCACAGACCACTAATTCTAAAGTTGTGCTATCTTTTCTTTAAGCAGCGCCTTACACAACTCTCACCTGTGTCATGGTGGCGTTCCACAGGTCAGAAACATCTGGATCAGTGCCGTAGTGGTTCTGCAAAGCCGGGACGGCCCATGCTCTGAGGATCCTCTCAGCCTGGTGAGGATACACAGAAAAAAGTGAGTAAAGCTGCCTCCGGCCGGCTTTAGGGGAGTCGAACTGCAGCCGCTCACTAAACAAAGCAGCAAAAGGACCCACAGAACTAGAATTTAACAAATGTCTCACGGGGATTTTCTTACTGCTAGGTAAATGGAGAGAGCCTGGGCCTTGAAGGGGCCTTTATTCCTTATTCTAGAACCCCCATTAGGAAACTATTTGGATTGATGTGTTCCTGCCTTTTTTTTCTTTTAGACACCTCCAAACCTCACGAGGGAAAATTGACATTTTTCCCCTCTTTGCACCAAAAATGCACAATTTAAATTGTGCAATTTAAACCGTCAAAAAAAAGTCCAGATGCTCCCACCAAAACCTCTTTTGTTTTCTTTAACTTTCTTTCTTTCTTTCTTCAAGTCCTTTGTTCTCCATCCAAAGATGGAGAAGAGTCACCTGGACGCTGTTTTCTTCGGGTCCATTATGCAGATGAAGGGTTCATATGCGGATGCCTATAAAGTCATTGCTGCCTTGCAGAGGTGTCACTGCCCATACTGGCATGCATGGTTGTGCACAGACACCGGAAAAAACTCTGTGATTTAAAGGGGATTCTCTGGGAGTCGTCAGAAATGAAATAAATCTGCTCACAAAGCACCTGGGAAATAAACAGCCGAGCCAGGAAAGAATGAGGATAAATCAAAAGCTGCCTCTCCTCTGCTGCTTCTTACAGGAGGCATTTACATTTATATTGATGCCCCAACGGCTGCGACTCTTTTCTTCTGAATTCATGTTGATCCAGAGCGTAAAAACAGGTCACGTTTCACAGCCCTTTGAGGGGGAGCTCGCTGGTTAGCTTCATTTCACATCCTCCCTCCTTCCTCTTTGTCTGTTTGTGCTCTTTGGATTAAAACCCCCATCACGTCCACGCGCACAGAGATGGCTTTGATGGGGAGGGGGGGGGGGGGAACATACCCCGGGGGGGGACCAGCCGGAGCTTGTACAGTAGTGACACAGATTGAGGAGATGCCCCAGGGGATGCTGGGATACGTGCCGAAATTAAAAGTGCCTCCCCAAGAAGCTGAGAGACCAGCTAAAATGGGAGGGAGGTGATCACCAGGCGTGTGGGCCTCAGTGTGAGCAGAGGCTCAAAGGTCACTGACCCCTGACCACTTCCAGCAGTCAAATCTGAGCAACTTACAGTCACCAGGAAACAAAAAGAACCACAGATCCAAAGTCTGATGTGTCCGAACGAATAAAAAATCCTAAAAAAATGGATCCAAACTCAGAAGCATCCAGGAGCCGATGACCAGCACTCTGATTAGCTCTTCAATACTTCAAGTGATCAATTCTCTAATCAAGCGATTGATGCTCTGAAAAAAAGCCTAATTTTGCCTCAAACACACAGTTAAACACAGATTATTCAGTAAACTTCCAAACCCTCAGCTTGTTTCCAGCTCCTGACCAACGGGAATGAGATCAAAGCTGTGATCTGTTAGACCATCTGATTGGAAGGAGCGTCTGGACATGAAAGTCCATGGTGAACTCTGGATACCACAGTGTTCAGAGTACGATGTGAGGCCGACTGTCCCCCCGCTAAAGCTGGGCTCATCTACAGGACAGAGACCCAAACCCAGCAGCAGATCTACAGCAGAAAGTCTCTCTTTCAGAGAACTGATCACAAACCAAAGCTGCAGCCCTCCGTGAGCTGAAGCACCACAGAGAGGAGAGAGGGACACACTCCTCCACAGCTGAGAACGCCATCAGAAACCAGGAATCAGGACCGCAGAAAGCTGACGGGGGAGACGCCAAACAATTCTGAGGCTCTTTGTAATCAGTCATACAGATGCTTTCCCCTGATGATGGCAGGTAGTTCGATCAAACTCACCTTCCCTGATTGGTCAGCGCTGAAAGCTGCTGGAATCTGTTTGATGGTGAAATGGTTTGACTCCATTTCTCTGACTGGGCTCAGCTTCTGGCATAACTCATTTAACGGCGCATTAAGCCCATCTCATTAATCCAGGGTGAAGTCCAGCGGAAATAAACTGAGCTCAGGTCACTTCGGAGTCCTCTCCTGATGCCTGCTGGGACGCTCATTAAAGCTCTGCTTTTCCAGGGCACAGAGGCAGATTTAGGGGGCACAATCACGGCCAGCTCATCGTCTGCTCTCACTGTTCTCACATCTGTCTCTTGCTCATTGACATACTCTCCAGCATATATGGAATGAGATTTATGCTGCCGATGTTCATCATTTAAGCTGTGGGCTTTATGGATAGCTGGCGAATATCTGTGATGTCAGCTCTTTGTGTTTGTAATGAAGAGATGATGCTGAAGTGGCTTAACACCGCATTTAATAAGAGTAACAGCCCTCTGTGAGCTCTTTTATGACTTCAGCCTTAGACTGGTGTAAGGCCTTAGTTTATCCCTCCTCTCTTTATTTAAGACGAAGCAGCTGCAGATCTCCTGAAACCAGCAGACAAGCCCAGGAGCTGCAGCAGAAGCAGAGTGAGTGTGATTGTGCAGCTTAAAGTGAATCTCTGCTCTGAGCTCCTCCATTCTCCAGCACAGCCTGAACCCTCTCCAACCAGCTCTGGGTCCTTTCTTCAAGGAGTCTTCAGGAATAGTTCTTGAAGGACATCCCAAAGCTCTTCTTTGGATGTGGGCTGCCTTTTGGTCTGTTCTCCTTAAGAATGGCTTCTGGACAGCCTCCCTTCATGGAGAGCATTTCTGATGAGGCTTGGTCCAACAGGAGATGATCAGCTGAAGGTCCAGATGCATCTCTCAGCTCCTGTCAGCTCTTTGCTGCATTCTTTCTTAAGGACATCACTTTCAGATCCTCTTCACCTGCTGTAGATAGTTTTTTTTAGGTCCAACACTTCTTCTTTTGTCTTCAAATGTTTTAGGTACACACTGCTACCATGCTGAGATATGCCAAGTTTTCAGCTAATAGCTCTTTCAGAATCAGCTTGTTGCTGCCTTCCAAAGTCCCATTTTCTGTCAAACTGGGTTATATTTGACATTTGTCAGAAATGCTGTTTGGGAATACTTTAGAGGGTTAAAGGATGAGAGCTTATCAGGACTCTGGATCAGGACTCTTGTTCAGGACTCTGGTGAAACGGTTCCTGCTGGGGTGAGGGTTAGGGCTTCTTTTCCCAAACAAAGGACACTCCAGCTGTGCTCCGTCAGCTGGATGCAGATGAAAGACTCTCAGAAACATCCTGTGACCAGTGCTCACTCTCCTCCTTTTACACACTTCATTTGATGGCCTTGTAATTATTATACATGCCACTAAATGGAAATGGAGCATGTGTGTATGTGTGTGTGAGGAAGACATAGGGACACGTATGTAAATAGGCTGTTTTGCATATAAAATGCTCTGGCTTCACTATTCCAGAGTAATAAATTACTCAACGTCAGAGGCGGGCACATGGCTCCAGGCTATCCCGGAGTCATTAAGTAGCCGAATGCAGTGAGACAGACATAAAGCCGGTAATTCAATGAGTGCTCGCCACTGTGATGGAGAATTTACGTGGAGATAAAACCCTGAGAGGGGGACGAGGGGGTGAGAGGGTAAAAGACCAAATGCAGAGGAATTAAGAGACAAAGGAGATGGAAGAGAGGAGGAGGAGGAGGGGAGGAGAACTCACAAATGAACTGTAGGCCAACGCCACAGCTCCAGCTGCCACCTCAGCCACAGAGATGATGAGGACGATGGAGAAGAACTGCAACCAGCAAAGAAGAAGACAACTCATTCACATGGCGGCCTAGATTAATGGGATGATTATGTGATGTTTCGATGATTTATTTCAGCTGAACAAATAGATGTGACATTTGGTATGAAGAAATACAAACATATCATCTCTGATATGATGAAGACTGAAGCCAACAGACAGGAACCAAAAAAGAAGGCATAAACAGACAAGAACCAATATCCAGATCCAACAGACAGCAAACAAAAGACAGGAACCAACTGACAGGAACCAGAAACAGGGACTGAGAGACAGTGGAAAAAAGACAGGCACAAAAAAAAAGAAACCGACAGACAGGAAACTGAAGACTGAAGCCAAAAGACAGGAACCAAAAACCAGAACCAACAGACAGAAAACAAAAGACAGGAACAAAAAATAGGGTACCAATAGACAGGAACCAAAAAAATGGTACATACAGACAGGAACCAAAATCCAGAACCAACAGACAGGAATCTAAAGACTAAAGCCAAGACACAGGAAGAAAAAAAGGAATCACCTGACAGGAACAAAAAAACAGAACCAACAGACAGAAAAACAAAAGACGACAACAACAAAAAAGGCAACAAGAGACAGGAACCATCAGACAGGAAACAAAAAACAGGAACCAACAGTCAGGAACCATGACCAGGAACCAACAAGACAAGGCCTAAAAGATAACCACCGCCACAAAGGAACCCTCAGACATGAACTATCAGGAACCTAATGACACACTGCCAGCTGTGTGGTCAGCTCCTCCTGTCTGTGCACCTCATCCCTTAGTCACACCTGGCCTCCACCACTCACCACCAGCAGCAGACACTTGCTCTCCTTCTGGGCTCCGCAGAGGCCCGTGAGGCCCAGCAGCACCAGCACGCCCGCCAGAACCACGATGAGATAGCCCACGTTGACGTACTTCAGGGGCTGATCGGAGAACAGTCCCAGGTACCGGAGGAAGGTGGAGCGGTCAGCGGTCACCCATATCCCCATGGCCAGCAGGGCCACGCCGCTAAGCTGCAGGGAGGCCGGGAGAAAAGTCAGATCCACAGCAGAAGACAACAAACATCCATCACTCCTCGACTGATAAACATCCTCCTGAGCAGCTTTAGTCGGAGAGACTGCTGTGGATTTAAGTTAGATTTGTCTTCTTCACTCTTAAAGGCAGCAGAGGGAACCATCACAGTCAAGTCAGCATTGAACAGCAGTCCTGCTTCTACAGTTTCTGTTTATATTCACAATTAAGGGATTTTTGTCATATTTGTGTTTTTCCTTTTTATTTTCAGGCCTGATTCTTTAGTTGTTTTTTGTTTTTTGTTCTCAGACCCCTGATCCAGTCATAAAACTGGCATTTCGCTGCTATAAAAACATGGTCCTGCTCCTTTAAACTCCTCAGACCCACACAGGGCATGGGGAAACCTTCTGTGAGCAGCTCCGTATCTGCTAAGTGTTTGATCAGAGCAGCCACAGACCAGAACTAATTCCTGTCTGTCAAATGAGGGACGGAGATAAAGTTAGTCCCAGCCAACCACTGAAAATGGAATCCTGAAAATGGAGAAATAACTATGTGTGGCCTTAAAAAGTAACCCTTAACACTAATTACAGCAGATTTGTTCAGGTATAAATAATTTTAATAAGATTCTGATCCTACAATGGATACTTTGAGGTCACAAACATCCATATGTAACCCCTGTGTGACTTTCAAAGAATTCCTTGTCATTTTCAGGATTGTCCTTTTATATTTCAAATAAATTCTTCATAAATTTATTGCGATTTAAGAATGTTTATACGAACAGACCCTCGTGGAGCAGAATGCTCCCAGCATGCTCATTTCTGATTTTTACTTTCGCTGCAACTATAGAACCAATATTTTGGATTTCTGACTTTTTTCCACTCACAACTGAGGTGTAATTTTAATGCAAACTGACCACTGCTTCAAGAAAAAAAGGGGAAATTACATATCACTGTGTTGGTCATGTTTTAGTTATCCAAAATGTACCTAAGACAGCCACGAGCAACAGGTAAAAACAAAGATTTGATGAGCTTAAGTTTTATTAACTTTGGCCTCTGTCACCTTTTACTGAGTGTTCCTGCATGAAAAGAAATGTGAAAATCATTTATTTGTTGTTGATGTGGACACCTCTTTGATAATAGAATTAGTTTCTTTGGCAGGTTTTTATGAATCTTTTCCTCTAACTTTTGTGACTTTCTTTATAAGTTTTAGGGAACATGAAAAGCTGAAGGAGGCGGCTGACTGGCCGATTGTTAGCCTACAGAAAGGTTTGATTTCAAACTTTTTTACTTGCCAGGAAAAGCAAAAACTCCCATTTATCAGAGCTCAGACGAAGAAGAACAGACAGCTATACCAGAGTTTTTTTTTTATCAAAGAGCTGAAATTTCGGAGCATAAAACTGACAATCTTACGTTCAAAGAGATTTCTGTCTAGCCGGACTTGATAGGCAGAGCTTTCAGCCTCCTGTCAGAGGTCACATACTCACAAAGATGAGAAGGTTGAAAACAACCACCATCAGTTTGACAAACGAGAAGCAGCCCATTGGAATCTTCTTGGTTGAGGAGCAGAAGATGAATTGGACAGCGTCCTTCCTCACACAGCGGAGAACAAACCTGAATCCTGAGCTCTGGAAGGAAAGACGGGCGTTCTGGTTCTGACTTTTGAAAACACTGTGCTGCGATCAGAAAGCTGGTGGGTGTTTCCTTTGGCTGGGACGGGGGGAAGGTGTGGCCCCCTGAGGACACAGGTGGCAGCAGGTGTTCAGATGGCAGCTCTGACCCCTGCAGGTACAGATCTGCTGGAATTATGGAAATCCACAGTGAGAACAACGAGTCGGATCTGAACCTTTATTATCACAGGATCATAAGAAACACTGGAGTCGCCTCACAAAGTTTTAGTCCTGTTTTTAGGGCCATTAGGACTAAAGTGTTGATCTCCGGCAGCTGCATGAGAATTTAAGGCATCAAATGAGTCAGAAAAACATACAAAAAACTGAAGTAAATAAACACAAATATTGACAAACATACAAAAATGTCTTAACTTTGGCACAAGTGACATTTTTTTTGCTTTTTGAATTCAGGGTGTTTAGTCTCTCATTATTTCCTGACTTGAACAAACATGTGATGAGTTCATTCGTCTTTCGTGCGGATTTCCTGATGTATCCTCCTTTCTTTGTTCCCTTCTTTGTTCCCAGCCTGCAGTGGCCCTCCCCCCCCACCAGAGGGGGGAATGCACCGCGCTGCTCAGCAGCTTCAGCTGCTGCCTGTGGAGGAATGTGGCCCCTTTGTCTCTCAGAAAGGAATCAAATCCCATCCAGGCATCACGACAGTCCGAGTGCTGCGCCTCCGGCCAGTCCCAGGCGGTTTAACTGAATAATGAATAACACATGTGACCCTTTTGAGCCCAACAGAAACATCTGTAAATCTAGACTCAGTCAGCATAAAACAAAGAAATATTTCTATAACCACCAAACACACCAACTCAGATCCTCACAAAACTGGGATTATGAGCCTAGTCCTGGACTTCTGAGCCCTGTTTTCTCTGCTTTTGGTGCACTCTGATCTTTTTTCTGAGTTTTTAACACGGTTTTGGTCTATTGACTATGTTTTGTTTTATATGACTCTGTTGTTGATCTTTTAAACTAAGCTTAAAAAAAAACGTCGTTAACTCTGTTCTTGGTCCTTTTAACTCTAGTTTTGCTTTTTGAAGGCTTTTTTTTGGTTTTTCTATTGCTCTGTTCTTGCGTTTTTACATTTGTGTCCTTGTCTCATTCGGACCCCTTGGATTGAGTGTGTCTTTTGTAGCTCTGTTGTTGGTCTTATTGAAGCATTTAAATGGCTCGGTGGCAGCGGCTGTGATGAATTCTCGCAGCATTAGCTTCAGCTTGAGACAATGACGGTTCAAACAGAGAGAGTAAACAGAAATCCCTCTCTGGGGCTGAACAGCTTCAGAATTAATTAATCGCTCTGTTGCTGATCTTCTTAGGAAGTCATTGGATTTTTCTTTGTCAGTTGTTGAGGAGAAACACTGAAAAATGACAGGAACCCTCCACCTAAAACCACCTTGTTGGGAAGTTTTCCCTAATAAAGCTTTAATGGCTTCATTTTGAGTTATGACAATCTGGCCCGCGCTGCCATTAACCCGCCGGTTCTTAATCTCCGTAAGAGAAGCACCTGTCAGGCCTCGTTGGCCATTAAACCCTTAATAATCTCTGCCTGCATCCATGGCACGTGAAAATGGAAACGATCCGACGGGTGCTTTTTCATCCCCTCCGATGAGGGCGGCGTCGGGCCGCAGAGCGCGATGGAGGACCTCAGAAAGCCGGAGTCCTAATGAGGTCGGTTAGATTGAGTATTATCAGCGGCCCTCCGGGGCAGCCGCTGGGTTATACATCTACTCCTGCCATTACACGACACCTTGTGGTCCCACGCGAGCACTGATTCATCCTGTAACTTGATTTTAAGGTTGATATAATATCAGCAGAATGTGCCTGGCGAGTCTAACGATCGTAAAACTCATTAAAAGCTTTCGGGGTCTGTGATGGAGCCTCTGTGAGGAATCGGCTCATGTCGCCCCGTGGCTCCAAGAGCAGGTTTCAATCACTTTGACCTCCAAGTGGGGGAAACGTGACCCGTTTGTTGGGAGACTTTCGTGTTCCTGGATCACTGATGGGTTCAAATCACAGCCGTGAATCATACCCGATAAAATCTATCTATCCATCTGAACTGTGAAGGTCTCTGAGATCTTTACTCAAACATTACATTTGACATTTCATAGTCACAAAGAAAGAGTATTTACTAGCTGGAAGGTTGGTGGTTTAATTCTGTCTTAGGGCAGGACCCTGAAATTTTCCCACTCATGCATTCAAAGCTCCATTGTTTTTCAGAGTTCACCGTTGGATATTCTCCCAGCACAGCTCTTTGCTCTACTTGTGGTTCCTGGAGTTTGTAAAAGCAGAATGGGAGGCAGAGCCTTCAGGTATCAGGCCCCTCTCTGTGTCAGAATGAATAGTTGTGTTTGAAGGGGGCATTAGTTGTGATTTGGAGCGTTCTGGATGAGGGTAAACGGACCGGTTTAGGATAAACGGGTAAATGAATAATCTCCTTTGAGGATTTGCTGTCGGGTTGCTTTCAGAAGATGATCTGACCATCATGCTGCTGGTGCTCTGACAGATGCTGTTAATGTTATGGCTAAGCACTGATGGAGCTCCTCGCACTGAATGAAGTCGTTTTCTGACAGCAGGAAGCAGAAATGAGAGGTTTGTTTGGTGTAAATTGCTCATAAATCATCCAAACTGCGATTGTCTCTCACTTCTCTGACGTGTTCTGTGTCTGAGGGGAAAAACATGACTGCTTCCCTCAGTCAGCTCCTGGAAACCTGACATGGGGAGATGGAGGGTTTCCCCTGTGAGTTCATGACCCTCTGAACCATAAAGCACCGGCGCCTGGCGCCACAATGATGGTGATGATGTCATCAATCAATCTTTGTTTCTACAGCACTTTTACACAAAAACACACAAAGTGCGTTACACGATTAAAGCAACAAAGAGGAAGTCAGCAAAAAGATCAGATTAATGAATGAAACGCCTGTCTGAACCCATCAGAGAAACTCTGGGTGGTTGATAAAGAGAGGAAAAGCGGGCAATATACAAACATCAAATGAAGTGTAATCAGTCAAATCACGCAAAATAGAATTGAATCTAAAACAGAAATTAATAGGATCAAATTACAACAAATAAAACAAACCAAAACTGAATCAAATGTTGCTAAAAATAAGAATAAATGTATTTACATTGACAAAACAAATTCATTTAAAATAAATCAAATTGAACTGTACAGACGTTGAGTTGATATTAAAACCGATGCAATGATAACTAAGGAATATTAATTACTTCAATTGATCATTTAAAAACTGGTAAAACAGAAGATGATGACACCAGATTTAACAAAATGGACTAAGAAGCCAATAAATGTGAGTGAAATACAGATGAGGAAAAGTGATGACACCCCCGGCCCTTCACACTTCCCTGACCTCTGACCTCTAACCCCTCAGCCTGCCGTCCTCCATCAGCAGACGTGACAAAAAGACGAGCTGATGATGCGCCGCATCGATCCCACGCAGCTTTACGATCGGCTACTGAGAAGAGATTTCAGAGGCTTTGGCTGAAGCGGAGCGGCATCAGGCCTCCTCGGGGAGGCAGCTGGGACCCAAAACGCTTTATCTGAGGGTATCGGTCCGGATTTAGAAAGATGCTGAGTGTGATAACCTGTGAAAACAGCTGGAGGCACGTGAGGACAACAGCTGGGATTAGGACACACTGAGATATGCTCTCTAAATCAGTATGCTGACTCAGCTTTGACATGTGCCAGTCAGAGATTTTCCATCTACCTGTGAGCCTCTGATCAGGTCCAGAGTGGAAAGGAGGGGAGGGGTTATCACATCTGAGCTGCATGTTCGTTTGGTCCTGGTCCCTCCTCTGGTTCCAGCTGTCCCCTGTTCCCAGACATTCTCCTAGTCCCGGGCCCTCCCCTGGTCCTTGCTGACCCCTCCTGCTCTATGATTTATCACACTGCGTATGAATTCAGGCGCTCCATCAGGCCACAGGAGGTCCGCAGGCTATAAATCAAAAGTAAAGGGTCGCTAATTGACTCGCTCACAAAGGAAGATGGCTGGCTATAGGAGGAGGGGAGGAGATGAGGAGAGAGAGGATGGGGTTAACGGGAGGAGGGCTGAGGGAGGTGAGAGAGGAGGACTCCTTTGTTCTGTGACTGATGGGACACACATAGCTTCTGAGGGCTCGATCTGCCACCTGAAGGGCCAACAGGCAGCAACGGGGCCAGTCCTCACCGGGCTGCTAATCAGCTAAAAGCAGCCTCTTTATCTCCCACTCGGCCTGGTTCTCCATTCTTCCCCGTCTGCAGCTCTGAGTGGATTTGCTCTGAGTCTCCCAGCTGAAGCTGGCGGGGGGTCGCAGCTCCTCACAAACTTCCTCCTCCTGCCTCGTCTCAGGGGTGGAAACTGGAGCAGAACTCTTCTTTGTGAATGGAATCGCAGGTGGAACTAGGGATCTGAATTAAAGGGACTCAGTGATGTTTGGTGTTGACGGATTGAGAATTCCTATCCTGGTTTCAGTCCCTGTCTTTAAGTTCCTGCCTGTTGGTCCCTGTCTTTTTTTATTCCTGTGTTTTTTTTTCCGAAATGTTGTTCCTGCCTTTTATCTTTTTTTCCCCCTGAATTTAGTTCCCACCATTTAGTTCCTGTCTTTTGGTTAATGTGTTTAGACTGCGTTTAAATCATATAATTGAAAATAATAAAAAAGAAAGCACCTGCAAACATTAAATCCACAGATCTATCCCTCACATGGAAAAAATTTATCCATATCTGTTTTTTGTGGGCTCATTGGGGAATAACACTATGTTTTTTCATCACATCTAATCATTTTTGGGTCACTTCTCCCTGATCTTCATTTCCTTTCGGGTCATTTTGGAAATGAATTTCTGCGTTTTAGGAGTTTGTTATCTGTAGCTGAAATCTTTTGTTTGGCTCCTTTGTCTACTTTTTCTCCTAGCTTCCTTCTTTTCCCATCACCTTACTTCTTTCCTACTTTCAACACAAACGCACACACACTACCCCTCAGCCCATCTCCCCCCCCCCACCAGTCCTTTATCTGCCCCTCCCTCCTCCTTGTTTCCCGGCTCGTGCAGGGGATTGATGGAGATACCAGAGGCTGTCATGCAGTAAATAGCCTGGACACTGGCTCCCTGCCAGGAGATGGTAATCAACCTGCTCCTTCAGCTTCCTCCTGCTTTCACTGCAGCGCGCCTCTTCCTCTCTCACCTACACAACATACAGCTTGTGGAGGCCAGTGAAGTCACCACCAAGTCCCCCCGCCATCCCTCACCCTGATGCATGAGCCAATCTGCCTTCCCCAACAAAAGATCCTCCAGCACATCAGTCCTTCTCCTTCTCCCAAACTCCTTCCCATCCTCCCGTCCTTTGTTTTCCCTGCCGGATGAGTTATTCCCCGCCTCGTTTCGCCGGGCATGCAAAGTGTCTCATCGCAGCATCATGGACAATGAGTCCCCGTGGCTCGTGAAAGGTTAATGCTTTGAGTGATTGTAAATTGTTTGGCTATTTCCAGGAGCTGTGAAAGGAATAACTCAACCATAAAATTTGATGGGCCGCCTCCCGTCTCTTCCTCCTCAGCCGCAGCATCTCGTCACTTCCCTCCATCATTTTAATTCTCTCTCTCTCTCTCTTTCCCTCCTCTCTTTGCTGTCCTCCTTTTCCTTCCCCATACTTCCTTTTTTCAGATGATAACGATGAGATTTCATGCCCCCGGTGTTTCGAATTAGGGAAAGCTTTCAGGAAAATGTTCCCCCCGTGTCTTTACAGCTGAAACCACAGCTTCCATGTCAGGCTGCTGCACAGTCATTTGGTCCAGCTGGAAAAGACCATGTCCACTTTCATGGCCATAATCCCATAGGTCAGTAGCCTGGGGCCGAGAGAGAACAGACTCAGAAAAGCTGCCCGTTTCTAAATCGCTCTGTACGTGTAAGATAAACAGAAAGATGAACATTTTCCACTGATTTTGTACCTCCAGCCTCCCAGATGTTATCACTTCCTGTTCAAAAAAGCATCTACATCTTCAGTTTCGTTCTCTCTGGTACATTCAGGGGCTGCTGGAAAACTTGGACCTGTTGCCACAGCCTTGGGAAAGCAATTATATTATATTTGGCTGGAATTGCACACACAATGAAAAGCCTGAAATGGTGATTAATGCATAATTCTGAGAAGCGCAGAGGCTGTGGACGCTGGATGGCTTAAGGACAAAAAAGGCTTATCAGTCAGCTCTGGGCCCAGCAGCCCAGAAGCTTCCAGGATTTGCATGCAAAGAAAGTGGTTTGATCATTTGATTAACTGCTAATTTTGCTGGAGATTTTCTTCCACAAAGGTAAGCCCTGTGAATTATTAACAAATGTTTTACTCCTGCCCTTTAGTCGCTTTAAGTGTATAGCTCAGATAGCTTTTTTCTTAGGTTTTCACTCTGTTTTTCCACTGGAAAAAAAATGTCTCTTTGAAAGTGTCTCTTTGTTTTTAACCCTAAAGCTCATGAGAATGGTGGCTTCTTTCTATTTGGAACATCAATGATACATTTGCTTTCTAAAGTTTTCTTAGAAAAAGATCAAAATGTCTGTTTGCAGCCACTTTATTCTGGCTCAGCCGTGAAAATGATGCTGCCGGTGTAACAAGAGCTGATCTGGAGCAAATCTTCTGTCTGGATTAGAAACCTGATGGATGTGGCTGGACACCTCAGGACTGGCAACAACACACCTGCATCTCGTTGCAGCTTCACTTAAGCAGGTAGGACATGGGATTTTATCTGGAGACCATATTGCTTTCCACTGGATCCCATTAACTCGGAGGTGTGCGGTTAGGCTGGATTACATTAGACGCCCCACAGATGCATTGGATGCAGTTATGAAGTGGTGAGAAACCATGCAAAGCCTGATACGGCTCCTAATATCCCAGCGGTGGAGCCTCCTGCAGCCTGAGGACACAGTTAAGCTGGAAGCTGAGTGAGTGCTGTTGCAGGACTGTTAAAGGTGTGACTCACGGCTAGAGCAACAAACAGAGCTGGACATCCAGCAACAAGATGCCGCCAAATTTAACCAATGAGAGCAGCTCACAGGTGCGTACACAGAGAAATGTAAAGGGCTTTGGATTATTTGAGGATGTAACTAAAGTCGGGATGGGTTCTTTTGCCGAGAGTCATAGAAAAATCTCAGTGTTAAAATGGATTCTGATTGTAATATCAACAGCCAATCAAAGCTGCCCTGAAGTCCAGTTTTGAGGCTCTGCCTTAAGACGAGGAGTTGGAGAGAGGGATGGATGGATGGAATGATGGATGGATGGGTGATATACGGATGGAAGGATAATAGATGGATAATAAATGGATGGATGGATTGATTAAAACTTCAAATTTCAAAGTTGGACTCAAAGTTGGACATATCTAAAAAAAAAAAAGAAAAAAAAGAAACCATTTTATAACCCTTTAAGGTTTTATTTATTATTTTTGTACTCCTTTCGCCTTGAGAGCTGCTCCCTTTGCCCGGTTTGAGGTCACACTTGTTTGGATTACAGTTGTGTTCTGAATCATTGTGACCGAACACCGGCTGCTGGTGTCCAAAGGTTTGAAAATAACCAGCCCCACTTTGTTTTGAATATTTTCTGAGTGTGTAAACAGGAGAAAACAGCCGGGTAATGAAGTCATGCCTCCTTAAATGTTGATGCCCTGGCAGGGTGCTGGATGCAGATGTTCCACATGGATCTATTAAAAGATAACATTAACTCCTTTATGGTGAAGGTGTGTTAATGTAGAGTCAAGCCTCATAAATTAAGAGGACGTTTAGCTGCCAAGACCATTAGCTGTTCTCATTTTCCCCGTGAGATCTACTCGGCTCGTTCTTGGAGGACAAACTGACGCAGAGCTGCATCCATTCTGTTGCAGACGTAATTAAACAACAGGAGGCAACACAGGAAAACTCACTTTCATGCCAAACGTCTGATTTCTACTCCAAACCCTTCAACTTTCTGACCTTTGGATTGGGAAAATATTGGATCCATGTGCTTTGTGCAGGAACAGCTGTGGGTAATAATCCATAACTGCAGATGGTTCCCCATCCACTGCTAATGCTTCAGTCTTTCTGAAGGTGGATGGATGGAAATCTGGAGAAGAAGGAGCTGTAAACTGGATAATCAGCTTCTACAGTCACCATCTGGTCCTTCCACTTTCAAGGGGCCACACATGGGGAATTACGTGTAACTAAACCTGCAGACAAGCCCAGGAGCTGCAGCAGAAGCAGAGTCAGAGTGATTGTGCAGCTTAAAGTGAATCTCTGCTCTGAGCTCCTTCATTCTCCAGCACAGCCTGAACCCTCTCCAACCAGCTCTGGGTCCTTTCTTTAAGGAGTCTTCAGGAATAGTTCTCCAGGCTTCTTGAAGGACATCCCAAAGCTCTTCTTTGGATGTGGGCTGTCTTTTGTTCCGTTCTCTGTCAGATGATCCACACTGCTTCAATAATGTGGAGCTCCGGCTCTGGGGAGGATTCATCCCTCCATCAGACCTGTTGCCACTGGTTTTCAGTTCATCTTTGTTATTTTTCCCACATCATTTGTTCCACACATGGGAACAAAAGATGTATAATTGTGACAGGCTGTTCGTAAAAAAATAGCCTAAAGATCCTATTTAAACTGCTTCTATGCTAATTTGTCTGTTCGGTGTCAATACAGCACAGGCTCATCCCTTGAGTTAGGAGCCTTTTTTCTGCCTGAATGATTAACAGCTCAGATTTAAGTGGCTGATCAAAGAAGAAAGCCTTTCTCTGAAACGGCTCATCTACAAGGACTGGGCTGAAAAGGAGAGAAAAAGCACAAAAAAAAACACGGCAAGGGCTTCCAAACACTGGAGAACGGCCGCTCAGGAACACTAGAGGGTTAAAGGAGGAGGGAGGGGTCTATGTGTACAAACTACCAGTTTTTGCTAGTTCACTTATGCTCTGAAAGTGGATGCATTTGTGTGTCTGAGTCAAAAATATGGATAGAGTCTGATTTTTGCCTCCGAACTGTGAAATCTTTGAAAGCCAGAACAAAGCAGGTGCATAACTCCTTCATTGGACCCGAGAGAAGAAATAAAACGCTGGCCAGCAGCAGGTCTGCTGTCTCAAATTAAAATTCCATCTCCGACTCTCAGAAGTATATAAGTCTGTAAAATATATATGTTTCAGATTTATTGGGCACACAGAGCTAGCAGGGAGCAGTTAATCATGTGTCACATATATGCCGCCACATATAGAGCCATATTGTTGAAATATGAAGGCCATAAAAAGGGTGTAAGGGAGAGTAGAAAACAGGGAGTGATGTGGGACTGCTCAGAGGGAGGAGAGGGGCTCCCTTTGTCTCCTGTCCCTCTGAAGGCGCCCTTTAGCAGCGCGGCGTTCTCCTTCTGCCCTCGCCGCCCGGCGTCCCCTGTGCTGCTTCAGCTGCTCAACAGATGGCCGGCTGGCTCATTAACTTTAATAAATCCAGCATCAATTAGAGCCGAGGTAATTGGGATGCGGCGGAGGTGGTGGCGAGGCAGCAGAGCTGCATACGAAAGCCATCGCCCCGCTAATGAACGGCCCCCATCAGGCCCGGATCGGGACGGAGGGAAGGAAGGATGGCTTTCATCACGCCGGCTGACCTTGATGGGCTGGTTCTGTTGCTTCTCCATCACTCCTGCCCGCCCTTGGCCCCGTCTCGTGATTCACTGCCTTTGTGTTTGACGTGTTGATCCTCTGCCTCTCTGATTGTCAGTTTGCTGACGTGGCACCTTCTCCCCCCCCCCCCCCCTCCCTTAAACCTGGAAAATCAGCCTGGAGTTTTACACCATAAACTCCTCCCTGGGTGCTCCAATGGGAGCGGGTTGCTTGGTTGGGATGGAGCGCCTCCGGTGAGGCTGAGCAGAGCACATCTGTTGAGCCCGTGCTTGGGGAGGCAAAGCTTTGGACAGATGAGATGGGCTGAGCGGGCCGTGTCAGCCCCCTCTAGTCCCCGGGTTGGAACCCCGACTCCTCCTGTCAGCGGGCTGACGTGTCCTTGGGCTCCGTGCCCGTGGTGCTCCCGGCGGTCGGACCTTTGGCTCGACAAACTGTCAGAAAACTGCTCCGAAACGCAGTGTGAGGGTTCTCCCTGTTTAACCTGCTGCTGCCGACCCGTCCGGCCTGTTTCTGAGTCCTAACTGTGTTTTAATCATGTAACTGGCTGAAAATGACATGGACGGTTGATACTCTGCTCTTTCTAAACTCGGACGTGAATCTGTCTTTGACAATACATCAACATACGAGCCTCTGATCAGTCAAAAGATTTAAGAAATGGGTTTAGGGTTATTAGAAACGTCATATCCAATAAAAAGGTGTAATTTTATTCATCAAAGGACCAAAAAGGTTGATAGGGTGGTGCTTAGGGGAATAAGATCAATTTATTCTGAGTTCCAGATGTTTTTGTGTGAAAGGGAAACCTCTTGATGTGAATCTATGGCTCAGACGATAACAGTTTTTGCTCATTATTGTACCTTTAATGCCTGGAAGAGGATGTGAAGCTGTGACGGACTGGACTTGTCTTTGGACTCACCTGACTTTAATTTACAGGACTCAGAGACAGGTGATGGGGCACGGCCATCCTGTGGGTCCCCTCACCCGCCTCACATCTGGACCGTAAATGTCCCTCTGGGTTGCCGTACATGAGCATAACAGGGAGGGTCTGTTCATTAAGATGGGGGGTGTTTACCATTAACAAGGGACTACCCAGCCTCATTCGTGTTTTTATGAGATGACAAGAAATGGAAGGGAGGTTCTTTGTTCTGGAAGCTGACCCCCCCCCATGCTGTGCCCTGGGAGCTCCGCTGACCCCATCAGCATCCGTCACAGGAACTGGGTGACAAGGATTTTATCTGAAACGATGAAGTTAGACAGTCTGTTGTTTCAAACGTCTTGACTTTTGTATGTATTTTTATGTATTAGTATGTAATCAGTTTCCTGTCATTTAGTTCCTTTGATTTAGTTCCAGCGTGTTGTTCTTGTCATTTAGTCCCTCTGATTTGGTGCCTGTCATTTAGTTCCTGTGTGATTGATTACTTTTAATTCCTATCTGTTGGTTCCTCTCAGTTAGTTCCGTTACATTTGCTCCATTCATGGGTTTTTGTGTGTTAGTTCCTGGATTTGTTTTGTGTGTGTTGGTTCCTGTCTTTTGGTTCCCAGACTAGTTCCTGTGTGTCATCCTGTGTCCCTCCAAACTGTGCTTGGTTCTGTTCATCCTGCCTTTGCAGTGGCTTTGGTTGCCTTCAGCCTTGTAATTGGCTGATTTTCAATTCTGTCTCATATCTCAGTCTGACCTGTTACCGATAATTTTCAGGACCAGTAGATTTGATCATCAAAAATGAATATGAGAGGCAAAGGGATTATCTTGAGGGAATGACTGATTCCTGCACTTTAGGCTCCATTTTTTTCCAGCAGGTGGCTGCAAACCTACCTAATGGGAAATAAGCTCGGTTGAATTGTGATGCGGTCCTAAAAGAAGCATCTGTCTAAATCTGGGACTTTAAACTGATATTTCAGGTATGTAAGAGTCTGTTGAGAAAGCCATGTGAGGCTGACTGAGAGTGGTTGTTTGCTGTGTTTGTACCCCCTCCTCAGAGGCTCAGGGGGGCTGTTAGATTCTGCTTTCTGAGAGTCCCCTATGGATTCAGCAGATCTGATGCGGGTTTGATACAAAGTGGAAAAGAAGAATCGGCAAAGCCGTGCGATGAAAGGGAGGAGAGGCAGCAGCTGCCAGGCAGGTGGATCCAGGTGGTCTCCAGAGACCCCGAATCCCTGACCCTGTTGATCCTACTGCGTGTGGAGGGATGGGGCTCTTTGTTTCAGCAGACGTTCATGTGTGAACACATCTAAAGGGACTAAACACGATGGATAAAACATACACAGCATGACCCCACCTGCAAAAGGCAGAACCAGGGGAGAGGAACAGGCCACTTTATGAGGTTTAACCTCACCCGGAACAGTTCTTCTGTTTCTGGGTTGTGGGCGGGAGAATCTGTCCTTAAAAACCACACGTTTTAAACGTTAGCTCCACAGAAACCAATGTGCATCCTTTCAAAGAGAGGGAGCAGCAAAATGACACCATGAAACAAGGGAGGAAAATCCACTGGTTCTGGTTCTGATGGAGGATTCTTCTTTATTCTGATTCTGATTAATCTTTCTTCCTGGGTTATGAGGAGTTTGATTCTTAAGATTAAAAAAATCTGTTGGTTTGGACTAATTTAAAATGTCATTAATGGGTTCTGATTGTATCAGAATGAATTGGACACTGGAGGACATTTGGAGCTTTGGGACCCTAAGTGAGCTGGACTGAGTTGGAGGGTCAGACCCAGAACAAACATGTTGTGGGTCACTGATTGGACTGAAGTGGCCTTTAAATCTAAACCGATCCTCCAAATGCAGACAGACGGTCTTCAGCAGATTCCGGCACACTGGGGAGTCCAGATCTCACTGGGTCAGTTTTCTGTGCAGTGGATCAGGGGAAATCAGATTCTCGAGCCAAAGATGGGAGAGAGCCGCAGGTGGAAAAAAACCAAACAAACGTGGTGCTGGTAAAGCGTGGGGAGCCCTCGGGCGCTCTGTTGGTGCGGCTGTGGATGGCCGACCCACGGAGCGTGACCTGTGCCCCATCACGGATACGCAGCCTGCCCGCCTGCATGCCCACTGACTGCAAAATTACCGCCTCCTCCGGCAGCAGCAGCTCTTTAAAGAAACCCGGCTAATGATTTCAGATTGGAGTGTGAGAGATTTCATCTTCTGCTGAGCTGTTTGGGGAGCTGGGGCTTCAGGGGAGATATTGTGTTTGTTCTCTTTTTAATTATGAAAGCTGAATTAAAATGTGAAACACGGAGAGAGAGTAAGAGAGAGAGAGAGAGAGGGGGGAACCTTGAAAAGGTGACAGATGGAGAATTATGTGTTTGTGAGGCTTTGTTTGTGCGCTTGTGAGTTTTTGGGAAGCCCGAGGGAGGAGGGAAAATTAGGCCAGGCTGCCGGCCTTTCCAAAGTCCCGTTATTGCTGCTGTCATCCAGGGCTGAAGCTTCATTTTAGAGCAAGGGCTGCAACAAAGGAACCGGCTGCTTCCAGCTGTGGCTCCGACAGGGTGGACTTCCCCCGGGTGCCACCAGGGGGCACTGCAGGATACCCCTCTGTGGAGCACAAAGAACAGGGAGAACAAAAGAAACGCAGAGGCGTTCAAACTCCTTTGCTTCCTGCTGCAAAACATCAGAGGCAAGCTTCAAACTTTCAGACAAAAGGCCAGCCTTGTTTCTCGTGTTTTTGAGTGGGGAAAAGCTTCACAATTCTCCTTTGGTCCTTTGTCTCTTTGTCTGTCTTCTGAATGTTTGGAGGTTAGCTGTTTCTGCTCAGGGTTTGAAAATATTTCCACTTTTCTTCACATTTCCAGCTAGATAACAGCCTTCTGTGATGTAAGCGAGAGCTGTTTACCTTGAAAATGAGGAGAAAATGCAGACCACTGAAGACAACGGCTTCCATTTCTACTGCTCACGGTGACATGAAACAATAACCGAACCCTCTGAGAGCTGCTGACCCGTGTTTGTTATGAGATGGAACACGTCTCAGTTAACTATCAGAGCACCGACCATCAGCAAGAAGCTGAGGTTTATCCGCATCAATACTTTGGGATCCAGAAGTGGACGTGGTTCTTTGAGGTCCAGATGTTGCAGAACCAGCCCACATCATCATCATCCCCCCACCGTGCTGACAGCTGCTCTGGTTTCTGTGCATGCAGACCAAATGGCTCCGCTTTACTCTGCTTTGTTCCAGAAGTCTTTGTTCAGATGCAGCTTTGCAAACTGAGCCCTGCTGCCATGTTGTTTTTCCTCCTGCAGCCATACCTGTTCAGGCTGTTTCTAACCGATTCTCGAGCTACAAACTGACAGAAAAACTATTTATATCTGCAGCTGTGGGACAGCCATGTTGGACAGATGAGGACTCCATATTGACCTCAGAGCCAGAAGCCACTGAGAGCACAGAGGTTACCCCCAAAGTTTGAGTTTTTAAAGCTTTTATGGGGGGCTTGTTGGTATATTAAATCAGCTTTTTGCTTCTTCTGGTGGTTTTGTCAGGAAAGTTGATGATATTTCTGCATTTACTTTAAGCTGCTTTAGGCTTTCTCTCTGCAGAAGGATGGACTCCAGATAGTTTGAAATTGCCTTAAACCCTTTAGATTGATGGGCTGATGTCGTTCCTCCTTGGCGTGGTGTTAGCACTCAGCTAAACTCCTGCTGGGTTTTTTTTCCCTCTATTTTCTAAAACTCACTTTGCTGTTTCATTGCACATTACAAATTCAGGCAACACCTTCACGTTTTGGTGCATTCACGGGTTCAGTCCTGTATTCTGATGTTGATGGGCCGATAGAAATCCCCTTAACTGGCAGTCCTCCACCTCCATCCCTGCTAGGTGTGTGGGGTTTTTGCAGCTGACATAAGTTCAAAAACCTCTGCGGAGTTGGGTGTCTGCACGCATTATGAAGCCAACAAATCAGCGTAGGTTGTGCTGTCAGATTCATGGGAAGATAACACCACACATGATGGAATTATGCAGAAAAGCAAACACACTCACATGCACGCTCAACACACGGCTGTTTGAATAATGTCTTTCATTATTCAGGCAGCAGAG